TACAGGCAGCAGCACTACGAACGCACGCACAGCGCTCGAGAAGAGGCTCAGGCTCATGGCAGTGGCTCTGGTAGCGGAAATCGGGGACGAGTGGTCATATCCGCGCCACCCAAGCTTAAGAAGCTGGTCGACTATTGATGTGGACCAACGTATACTAAAGAATAGGAAAACGCGATATTATGATTGATATGATATGATTGGTTATGGCCGCGCATCGTTTGTTTTAGGTATAGGCATATTTTTCTATGGCTTTATGCATCGTTGAATGTATTTGTTGACGCTTATGCTCAATTAAACAAATGCATAAGAATTTGAATTGTTTTTGAACTTCGAAAAATGTTGTCTGCAAAAAAAAGTGTTACAAGCAATACGTGCATGAATCCTGTCTCTATTTAACTGAATAAATGGTAATTTGAACATCCGTTTTTATGACTCAAATTATATTTAAAGATTTTAATATTTGATTTAGCTGTCACAGCAAATTCGCTAGAGTTTAGTATTTTTTAGATGTAAAATTCCTGTCGGTACATTTGTTTCAAATTAACGTGCAACTATCGTGAACTGAGCCGAACTGGTTCATTTCGACTTTCGTGTAGGCCGCATAGCGTTTTGTTTATGTAATTGTGCAACAGCTGTGCGAGAATATTAGAAACATGTTCGGCTTAACGTTGCGCCAGTCCGTTCGAATTTCAGCGCAAAAAGTGAATCAACTACTTAGTGGAAGTACCGTAGTAGCCAATAGGAGCTTACAAGCAAACATGTCACAGTCTCAAGAGCCGCAATATCCGCCCATAGAAACGGCGATGAGGAAGGCGCTAACAGAGCAGCTGAAGCCGATATTTTTGGATGTGAGCAATGAATCGCCCATGCACAACACGCCGAAGCAGGCGGAATCACATTTCCGTGTGCTCGTCGTCTCCGAGAAGTTCAATGATTTGACGCTGATAAAGGTAAGCTGAGGACCAGAAAAGAATATTGAGATGGAGCTAACTTTGGTTTTCCTTGCAGCGCCACCGACTGGTAAATGACACAATAAAGACGGCGCTAAAGGAGGCTGGGTTCGAGTTTATGCACGCGCTCTCGATCGAGGCGAAAACACCGAAGCAATGGGAGCCCGAACAGGAGCCGGAGAAGAGTCCGCCCTGCTTAGGTGGCTTTGGCAAATAAATGACTGTTGTAGACGGGGAATTTCGGGAAGTTTATGTGCATAGAGAAAATCAGTCGAATCACAGTTACAATTGCAAATATATACAAAGAATAATTATTGAATGGAAACATGTGAATTTCAGTTCAAGGTTCCGACGGCGATGGCAGCTCCTCCACCTGTCTGCGCGCAGACAAGATGACATCGTTGATGCCCACGCCATCGTAGGCTGCGCCACACACGGATAAAGGCAGTTTGTAGTCCTTGATGTACTTCCTAATGTTCTCCACGCGTCGCTTGTGTCCTACTGTGTACTGGGGAATGCATTTGTGGAGCATGTGCACCCGGCTGAACACGGGCTCCTCCTTGATCTGCAGGATTTGACGGACGTGCTGGTGGGCAATGTCGCGCAGCTTCTTCTGACTCGGCTGGTTGCCGAACCACTGGTCGAACCAGCGACCGCCCATCATAACGGTGAGGATCGTGTTGCCCGCCATGTCGAAGCAGCAGCTGTCGAAGATCACTCCGAGTATGGGCAGCTTCTCAACGGGCGGCACCAGCAGGCCGAAGCCATTGTGCTTCAGCAGTTGGTCACTGTTATACTGGATGTTGACCACCACCACGTCCACGTAGGGTATTTCCAGCAATTGGGCTGCCAGGGATGGATGCTGGGCCCCCACCACCGCCGCCAATTGGTGTGCTGGCAGAGCACTTATCACGTGTTTCACCGGCACCTCGGCGTCGCGCAGGCTAATCCGTGCACCGTCGCCGTTAAAGGTTAGATTGGAACACTTGCTGCTCAACTGCACATTAACATCGTGTTCGCCTAGATATTTACGCATAGCGCGGGGCAGCTGTTCCAGGCCGTCCTCGACGCCATACATGGCCCACTTCTCCTTGGTGGCCTGCTTGAAAAGCTTGGGTTCGCCCCTGGCAAATAAGCCCGGTTTCTTCTCGTCCACTTTGTCCTTGAAACGGGCGTAGAAGGCACCCTTCAGCACTCCACCGTACTTCTGCTCGTTCTCGAAGAGAGTCTCCATGAGAAATCGCACGCTGATTTCGTGAGCGTCGCCGGCACAAATACCACAGATCATCGGGCTGATGGCATAATCGGCTATCTCCTTGCCGAATCGCCTTTTGGTAAAGCTGTAAATAGATTCGTCCTCATTCTTGGCCAGAGTGCTGCCCGTAAACAAGTCATGGAGCAGAGCTCTATACAGAGGCTTCGTAAAGGGTGGGACTGTGCGGATTAGGCCCTTGGGACTGTTTGGCAGCATGCACACTTGTCCCTTGGCATAGAGCATGCGATTCTTTGCAGCCACATGGGAGCTGGGAATGGGGTGAATGGGCAGGTCGAGTTCTTCTATCAGCTCGAGTGTGTTGGCACCCGCTACGCCTTTGGGGCGTATTGTTCGCGGTCCACCTTCGAACAGGAAGCCCCGATCCTTGTGCCCTTCGGTGCGTATCCAACCGCCAACGCGTGGAGATGCCTCGTAAATGGTCAAAGGTTTGCCGAAACGTCGCAACAGGTAATAGCCGGCTGATAGCCCACTAAGGCCGGCACCGAGCACGGCTGTGGTCATAGTGTAACTAGTAACTGTTCGTCGTACTTTCTGTTACCTAATGTAAGAAATTTTGTGTGTGATTGTCAAATCGGAGCAACCTATTTTTCAGAAGTCACGTCCCGACTGTTTTGGTTATCGAATTTAAAAATCGATGGCTCGATATCAGTTCAGGGCTGCAGTAGTTAAGAGCTCGCGGCTTCTTAACCTACAACTGGTTCCCACCATGTGACAGTTAAAATTTAAAAAGGAACACTAATACTTTAACAAAGAAATTAATGAATGCTAATATTTTTCGCTGATAATCATTGCATTTTGTTTCATCTTTATTATTAGGAATATATATAAATACATACCTGAAAGTATGCTACAGTCAAAAACAATCGAGCGAAAATAGTTTTGTACAAAGTTATGCAACGGAAAATTATTTCTTTTATTCCATACGCCACGTGAACGGATCACTAAATAAGCAACACTCAAACATATAAAAAGAAACACACACACACATAAATGTTACTCTTGTCTTCTCGTTGCAGTTTTGGCGCCAGTTTTAATGAATTACAAGCTTCGCCTGTCATGCCAGGCCCCTAGCATTCCGAAAAAGCTCGAAGGCGAGCTTCGGCTGTACAGAGCCAAGAGTCATCTAAGTTCACAGCGCGCAGAATTGTATCCGCTGCTGACGAGAAAGGTTGGTGCTTGGCCTGTGCGCGTCGTGTGCCTGTGTGAAAAGTAATGGAAAAAAGTTCCTCATTAAATATATGTACATACATACATACACACACACATTAATATATAAGTATGTGAATATATTATGTAAATTAAATACAAGTGTATCTATTATATTACATATTTAATATATATTTTATATATAATATACTTATATATATACTGCATACACGCATACATACATACATACACACAAATACTGTGAGAGTGAAAAATTTTCAAACTGCGTATGTCAAAAGTTTAAAGAATTGAATAAATGAAAGTGACAAAATTGCTGTATGTAAATATGCAAAATATTCTAACGTATTTTTGGACAACTAATTCAATAAAAGAAAACTCCAACCCGTCAGTAAAATAATTTGACGAAATAATGAAATAGAAAGAAAGGAGATACATATATAGTATTAACTCAACTGAAAAAAGTCTCAAAGGAACTGTGGCTCGACAAAAGAAATATTGGAATCTTCACGGCAACGTTTTCTGTTTATTCTGGCGTTGCTGCGGGCTTCTATTTAAAAGAAGCGGAGGTCCGTACACACGCATGGCTAGAAAGATTCACTCGCCTACCCACACAGAGGCGCACACACAAGAGCACACGTATACACACGTGCACATACGCGATTCACGCACTGTGCGCCAGTTTCATGCTGAATCGCACAAAACGAGCACAAAACAGTTTTTAACGACGACGAACAGAACGACAACGCAACGCCAGCGACAACGCCAAGCGAAAGGACACGATGATAAAGTCGATGGGCAGCCGGAGATTTGGTACAGTGGGGTATCGTGTATCAAATTGTTGTTGCTATTGCTGTTACCGTTGCCGTTGCCGTAGCCGAATGAGCTCCTGGCCCCGTTCTAGCCACGCTTCGTTGTCATCGTCAATGTTATTTTTGTTGTTTCCTATTCGTCGTCGTCGTATTCGCGTTCGTTGTCGTCGTAGTTGTTGGTGTTGGCGCACGTTGTGCGCGTTCATTGGTATATGTGTGTCAGTCAGTCAGTGCCCGAGCATGTACATTTCTGATGTCCGGGTGTGCGCGTGTGTATGTGTGTATATGTGCGTGTTTGTGTACATGTGTATGCTGCAGCAGATACCTACAAGGAAATTAAGCCCAATTCCAAACGAGTTCAATGCGCGCCCAGCCAGCCAACAGCCAGCCAAGGCAGGCAGTCGGTTTCTCGCTCTGTCGGTCGGTCGGTGTGTTTACCTTTTAGCAACACAGTGGCAACACTGGCTGTGCTCGTTTTTATACAGTAGTTACAGCAAATTAGCGTGTTTTAACTGTTTACATACTTATAATAAACATGGCAACTCTTGTTAAGTGCAGCACACGCTCCTTTAACATGTACTGTATTCCATACGATATTTGAGCTGTGCGGCATGTGCTCTACGTGTGTGTGTATGTTACTCTGTATATGTGCGTGTGTTTGCGTCTATGTGCGTATGTATGTATATATGTGTCGAGGAGCACAACTAAAAACTAGGGCAGTGTGTTTCCGTTTCAACGACAGGCTGCAGCAACTCTTGGAATCGTTCATTGCCTCGTACACGCTTCACGCGCACGGTTCACATTCCTACGCAGCCAACTGGCGGAGCTGTCCATGCAGCCCAGCTGCAGGAAGTGGTTAACAATTTATGGCAATTAAATAATGCAGACTTAATGATACGAAGTCAAATTAAGCAAAAGGAAATATTCAATTCAATTTAATGCCTGTGGCAGACATTGCGTATGCTTAACAGAAATTAATTTGTGCGTTCAACTCGAAAGAAAAAGCTTTCACACTCGTTCGGAATACGCCTAAAGCACATGCGCCCCAAACACAAAGCGAGCGGGAGAGTGACAGTGAGAGTGAGAGTGAGACAGACAAAGGTAAAATGGGTGAGAGCAGAGAGGGAGAGAGAGGTACAGAGAGCAACGCCTGCAAGTCCTAAAAATCGACGCTCAGCTGCTGTTTCTGCTTTTAACGTTGCTTCGCGTCTTTATTTATTTATTTACCAGGCCGCATTTTCATTTTTCCTATACTAACGGCCTATACGAACATATAACTCTAATGTCCGGGGAAATTGGAAAAACTACAAAAATTCTGTCTTAACGAATTGCGAATAGCGAGAATAATTTATAAATAAATGCATTATAATATAATAAATTTAAAATCACATGTAAAAATAATTGAATGTGTGTAAAGTGAGAGTGAAGTTTAATAATAATTTAATAAATTAATCAATTTAAATATTTTTTTAATTCATAGCAAGCCTTTAGATCAAAACTAATACAAGCAAACGCACAATGAAACTAATAACGGTATTCTAAAACAACAACTTAAAAATATAATATTTATATATAGTAATACCAATTTATATGTAATAATAATTCGATTATATAATAACCCGAATATAATGGAATAGAAATCTAAAAAACAAAACAACACAGCTATAAGATTATTTCTACGGCAACAATAAATAAATAAATAAACAACCAACAACAATATTATTTGTATAAAATCAACAACAACAATTACAACTGGAACAAATCGTCTACACGTTGATGTGCGATTTGAGCGTGTGAATGTTGGCAGCCCTGGAGCCCTGCCTCGGTGGTTTAGCCTGTACTAGGTGAGTAGAGATGTGATAGAATCGAACCTAACCCCGCCCCTCTATAAATATATATACAAAGATACAAACACACTCTCCCACATATCTACTGACGTACACAATTTGAAGAAGCGAATATGAGACGGGACACAACCATATCGATTGCGGCTCCTAATTTGGCTCTACTTTCAAAAGAGAATACAAAATCCAAACAGATACCGATACCGATACCGAAAACGAAAACAAAAACAAAAACGATACCGAAACAGCTAATATGGCCAGCTGGTGTCCAAATTGTCATGAACTGCCACCGTTTTATCCGCCCATCTCGCCAAAGGTAAAACTCACACTTCCTTATGTGTATACCAATACCAGAGCTAGGCTAGCTATCGTTAATGCTCAAGTCTACTCTCGAGCAGGCTATAGATGTGCAACAATCAGTGCGACCCCAAAAAACTGTTAATCAATCATGTTGTGGTCATCTCTCATTAAAGCAAATCAATGGCGGCTTTCTTTAGGATTAATTAGACATTAATCATTTTCATATCTGGTTCCTATCTACATATGTGAACTGTTTCAGTGTACAAAATAGCTTAGCATGTAAATTAGAGCAAGTCCATGTCGTATAGAATAAATGTAATTGAAATAGTTAAATCGGCCATATACGGATTTAGTTCCGATATTGATTTCATTTAATTTGCTCCGCTTTTTGTGAACGATATGCACTTTTGAGTAGTTCAGTTATCGATCATGAGTCATTGAACTACTAATCACTGTCTAATAAGAATCGCAAACGACTATCGGTCTCAAGTAGCTGAACTAGCTGAACTCAACTCGTCAATGTGTATACATATGTATATGTATATCTAAGTATCTATGTGTGCGCTTTTATGAATTTGTTTGGCGGAGTAGTTCCATACGTATGCATCAGCTTGCGTGACCTTTGCAAATGTGGCACACAAAATGAAACCAAAAGCGGACAAAGCAACGCTCAACGTGCAATGCTCGGTGGGCAGTCCCCTAAGCCCTTCGGCCTTGGTAATGTCGCGACGCCAGCAGCGGTCAGCAATCAGTGGCCACAATCAGCGGGCCAAGTGCGACCCATAAATTGCTCAAAAAGTCGAAGGGTATTTGTCAACTGGCTGCTTGCTGCGCGCTGCTCGCTGCTTGTCGCTTGTCGCTTGGCATTTGCCTCAGTCTGGCTGTCGTGTCAGCTCTGCTGTCTCTATCTGTGTTCTTCACAGTTCTTGGCTTTCCACAATTTGACGGACATGCGTCAAGTTATCTACCCACCTCCACGCCCCAAAATCAATAGTTCGCAATGTAAATTATTGCCACTTGGTCGTTGAGTGACTTCATCCATTTGATTGTCGCCATCGGTTCAGACTTCTGCCATAATTTATATCGCTTCACTATCTAAACGCCCTCCGACTAGATTATTAGTAGCAGCGGGTAGTCTGTATACAGCTCTTAAGTCCAGCAAAGACATAAATTCCAAGCTAGACCAACCATTTTCAACAACATTCTGAGTAACGATAACACAGGTCAACAAGTTTGAGGTAACCGAATATCAGTTTATACGTTCTCAAACCAAATCCGAGTACGAATCTTTGGGATCTAGACTATCCCTAGAGTACAATAATCGTGCCTATTTGAGCTGAATTTTAATTACGATATTGTATTAAAAAACAAGTAAGAAGGCTCCAGTCGAGACTGCTCGACTAGGAGATACCCTGAACCCTCCAAGCTGATATTCTAATCAGTCTGGACTTCTTTTATGCACACATACATACACATGCACTTATAAGCACGTGCTCTGCTGACTGCGCAGTTAGCAGCGACTGCGCTTGGGCTGCGCTGCAATGTGGGCAATATTATGAGAATTTATTTGTTGAATAATTTCTTTTGTAGACATACGATCTTAATGAAACTTTCAGAGCGTAATCATATGGTTAAAATATGTGTAAATTCCAAAGCACAAGTCTCTAGTACTTGAAATGCGTTTTTTACAAATTGGGGGAGAAGGGGGCGTGGTATCCAAAATCTGCAAATTACAAAATCTTTGTATCCACTAACTTTATATACAACCCAAATATGAAGTCTCCAGGTCTAAAAGTGTTAAAATTATGCTGAAAAAACCAAGTCGATTTTTCGATTATTCTCGATAAAAAAGTTATCGGACGAGTTATCGAAAAAATAAAGCAAACTTGTACTGCCTATGGTATACACGAGTATGCATGCCAAATTTCAGCTCTCTAGCTCTTATATCTTCTGAGATTCTTTTGCTCATACGGACGGACGGACGGACGGACGGACGGACAGACGGACAGGGCTATATCGACTCAGCTCGTCATGCTGATCAAGAATATATATACTTTATGGGGTCTGCGATGATTCCTTCTGCCTGTTACATACTTTTCACAAAACCATTATACCCTGATTTCCCATTTTCAATGGGTTCAGGGTATAAAAATGTTTATCCTTGTGTGATTGTATCTGAAACTGATATATCGATGTCTCCTCTCAAAAATTTGTTACCTTTTCACAAGGTAAAAGGGATATGCCAATGAAAATGGAGTGAGTGAAAGAGAAACATGTAGAGTGTGTATTATAGCGGGAAAGAGAGGGTGTATGGGAACTCTTTAGTAAGTCAGGGATATTTGGATGATGGATAAAGGCTTGCATAATATTAAAAAGACATTTCAAAAGTTAGGAATTTAACTTTACGGTACAATTATTAGTGTTTTCGAAAGAAAATTGGCTGTTAACGTATTGTACTCAAATGTACTCAATATAACTGGATTTATTCATTTTTAGTTTAAAATATTTTAAAAACATTTGACATTGACAACATTTCAAATTCTTCTAGATTACTGAATACCAAAATTTGTTAGCTAGTGTAATTAATCGGTACATTTGTGTTGTTTACTTTTTCCTTAAACTTAATGAATCGTGCATAAATATTTACAAACTGTGTGTCGAATGTGTGCAATATAAACTATATCTCTACTATATCTATAGCATGTATGTGCTTAAAATTAAATTTTTTCCAATGGGTCAATTCGAATCTTGAGAGACGTCTGTCTGCCAAAAACAATATTTATTTACAGTCTATCGACAGCTCAGTGGAAAATACGCTTTGCAGCGAATCATTATCAGAATAGACCTGTTCTATATAGATTATAAATGTCAGTAGTGCAATAATCCAATTTGATTGATTTCTAAAACAAATAAATTGACTTATGTATATACAACATAGACAGCTCGAATGCTCAAAGAAAACAAGTTTATAGTCGATTTCTAGAATGATTTACTTCTAAATGTGACACAATGGTACAATATCAGTAAGTTCAAGCATCTCATTAGATTCTAATACAATTTTCCGACTAATTGACGTTCACTTCGCCTTATCAGCATATTTCGCATATCAATTATCAATTAAAATGAATCGAGCCTTCTTCTTATACCCTGAAACCACTGCATATGGGAAGATGGGGTATCATGAGTTTGTGAAAGTGTATGGAAGAGATAGAAAGAGACTTGCCAGTCTTTCATATATAATATTTCAGTACGTTTACGTTTGTCTCTTATAAATGCAGCCACAGACTTGACTCTGTATACCATAAGTAGTTGATTTTTTCAATAGTTACTTAATTAGCTATCGATAAAAATCGATGAATGTTAACTTTACAAATATATATATTTGTCATTATGTAGATTATTTATGTAGTAATTGTTCACGCAGTAGATTGTATATGCAGCTTAAAAGTGTTCTGGGTATTTCTCAGTGGGGCACTCATATAAACACATTGACTTCATATTGAATTATTAATGGGTATACGACATCATACGTCATCATCGTACACTTGTGCCTAACATTATTCCATGCATTTCAAATTTCAAGGCTAGCTATAGATAGTTTTAAAAATACTCTTCTAAATACGCGAATTCAACAAAATTTTATAATTGGCCAAATGCAATAAGGCAATAATTTGAAACGCTGCAAGTGTCGTATATGAGGAGAACTAAAACTATAATTAGGGCCTTGCTCGACTAGAGGATACCAAGTAAAGGTACCGGGACTACGATTGCCAAGTCAGAATAGATTATGCTAGGAAAAATGCGATGCACCGTAGGCAAAAGGCACCGTAAAGCAAAAAAGGAAATTAAACTAAAATCACTCATGGAAAGAATTTCCTTTGATGTTTTGTTATAGCCGTGGTTAGCCGTCTTCTGTTGCATACTTTTGTACACAGGCATATTGCCGCTTATTAAGCACTCTCAATGGGTATAGGGTATTAAAAATAAACGCTGCTGCCCCGGCTCGGCGTGGCCCGGCTGATGATGATGAGCAATTATGGCTAGTGGAAACGCATAGTTAAGACGGAGGCATAGTTAACTGGGCCAGCTTGTTTGCATGTCGGGGCGGGTGGAAGCGTGGGTCTTGGGGTTCTTTGTTGGTCTATCCCCGCAGGAAATAGCAAACAAAACGCGTAAATTATGAAACGACAGCTTACTGGCAACATGGCGTGACTGGGCTGAGTTAACCTGTCGGTTCCTCGATTGCTGCTGGGAGTCACAATGGGGCGACAGGTCAGAAAGAGAGTGAGAGAGAGACAGAGGGAAGGAGAGAGACAGAGAGAGCGAAAGCGACTGAGAGATGGAATGCAAAATGTGTGAGTGTTTCGTGTACTTGTTTTGTGTGTGTGCTTAGAATGGCACTGGGTAGAAAACAAAAAAAAAAAAAAAAAAACTCATAATTTATATATTTATATTTGCCCTGCTGCTGCTGTTGTTCTTGTTGTAATAACAATTCATTGTTGGCAGCTCACCCACACATCGACACACATACCCAGCCTTTATTGTACAAACGTGCAAATACTCTTCAAGTGGCCATGTATATTTTCTCGTAAGGTTTGAGTCAATGATATAAGAAATAATGAAATTTCTTTAAAATCTATGGAAATATTTTATTAAACAGAAGAAAGATAATGTATTTTCATTTATTTTTCTTAAATTATGCTTTTTTACATTTTTGACTAGTCGAATAAAATATGATAATATTTTAGTTCCATAATATACATATATATACATATAATATTTGGTAAAGAGTATTTATTATTATATAAAGTGTTTCAATAGACAAATAATGCATTTCTTTTTGTTGTTCACATTTAATTTAACTTATGTAGCTCACATGTATTTTGTATTTTATTTTACTGTTGATAAGTTAAAAAAAAAAAAAAAAATAAAAAAAAAAATTAAAAAAATAAAAATAATTAAATAAATAAATTTTTGTATTAATATTTAAGTTCATGATTTAAAACTCCTAAAAATAAATATAAATTTCTTAAAGAGAGTTTTTGTTGTATACTATAGTTACAGTATATAATAAATTATTTATTTTACTTTTTTTCATACTTTATTTTACATTTAAACTATAGGTAGATCGAGTGAAATAGAATTATTATATTAGGAAATATAGTTTGGCTTGGTTATTCTCGAAGAGAATCCAACAAAAACAATTGATTCTTGCAGTTCTTCAAAGGAACTTAAAGAAATTTGTTGTTTATACCAAATAAGCTAGCTTTTTGATGGGGGAAAGGGTATGCAATTGTGATTGGCATAACTGTTAGATTTTCTTGTATTTTTTCTTTGGCTTTTAATTAAATTCAAGTGTGTCGCCTGCGATGTCAGTTTTCGCGGTCAACCAGACAGAGAGCCAGTCCACGTCAGGAGATAGCACGTTGGCTAGCTGAGCAGCCGACTAGCTGAGTAGCTGAGTAGCTGCGTGGCTGAGTAGCTGAGTAGCTGAATAGCTGAATAGCTGAATAGCTAAGGCTCCTCAGCGCCACATTCGTAATGGCCTGTTCATTTTCAGTTGGTGCGCGGCGTTTGGGCTGTTCGCTCGGTTCGCCTCCTTTTTTTGCTTGGCTGACTTTGTGGTCTTTGCGTGTGCTCTGCGGTGCTGTGTGTGCGCGTGTGTGTGCGTGTGTGCGCGCGAGCTCGTGTGTGTCAAATGCAGATGTATCTATAATATATACATATATACATTTATTGCATGTGTACGTAGCATACGCAGTGATTCATTGAGTGCGTTGGCCCCGTTATTGAAAAGCGTGCAAATTTCGAAAATAGAAAAGGCAAATAACACACACACACACCCATAGAGTTTGTAGTGAAGTTTAGCCTGCTGCGCCATTCCCATTCATTAGAAATTCGTGTTTCTCCCTCGTATGCTGAAAATGTCGCATGCCTGAAGTGTGACAACCCAAGCAAATTGTAGCCGCGTTCTGTGGCGAGCAGCGTTCAGCGTTGTGCGTGTGTGTCGCGTCGCGTCGCCTCGCGTACATTGCGAGATCACTTTAAAAATAAAAGAAAAGATTTGTTTGTTGCTATTTTTAAAGGCGTGCCAAGTTTTTGTGTGGCGATCCGTTCCGTTTTTCGGTGTCGCGTCTTTTGGCTCTTTGGTGGCGTCATTGGCCACTTGGCCATGTCCAAAGTTGCCAGGGGCCTATATGCACTTGAAAGCCCAGCGAGTCTCTCTTGGCCAACAAGCATAATCACAACATCACTACACACCATTGTACATATCTATCTACATATATAGTGTGTATATATATATCATTTATATATATACATTTAAATACAAATATCTAGCAGTGAGCCGCAGCAATGTAAGCTATTTGCAATGGCAAGCGGTTTGATCGGCACAAATATCAGTGAATTGACAAATGTAAGCAATTATCCCGTGATGTGTCAGCTACTTATTTTTATATATTTTTCTATCATTTTTGTGCATTTCATGTCCGACACTCTCTGTACTTTATTTTTGTTTACATTTATGCGCTTCGCCATGCAAACTTGAGCCAAAAAAAAAAAAAAAAAAAAAAAAAAAAGAACTTGTGGTCGATTTTCTAAATGTCAAACGTGACGTATGTGTAATAAATGAAAACATATACATACACATGCATATGCATACATAGTATGTACATACATATCATATAGTATATATTTTTATAAATGGATGCCGCCTTGTGCTCAAAATGTTGTCAAATGTGTCTTTAGTTATTCATGTTATCGCTAATAGTTGCAAACATGTTCATGGATACTAAATAGCTAATTAGTTATTAACTTGTTAATTGTGCCAGTCGCTTCCCAATACTCATATCAATATTTATTGCGCACTCTTGCAGGGGATGTCGGGGTGTGATCAGAGCACTGTCGAATCATTGGCCGATGATCCAACAGATTCACCATTCGATGCCGATGATTGTCTCAAAGTTCGCAAATATTGGTGTTTTCTGCTATCCAGCATATTCACATTCCTTGCTGGCCTGCTCATTGTATTATTATGGCGAGCGTTTGCATTCATCTGCTGCCGCAAGGAGCCGGACCTGGGACCCAACGATCCCAAACAAAAGGAGCAGAAGGCGTCACGCAACAAACAAGAGTTCGAGGGAACATTTATGACAGAAGCAAAAGACTGGGCTGGAGAGCTTATCTCGGGTCAAACAACAACTGGTCGAATTTTGGTAAGTCGCACTTTACTTTACTTTACTTACTTTATTTGAATTGCATTTAAATTCAATTTTAGTGAGAATAAAAGAATATGAGTGGATAGAAATTTTCGTTAACTGTGCAAAAGTTACATTAATCAAACATATTTGAATTGAAGACGAAAATGTCTGTATAGTTTGAATATGCATATATTGGTCAACCAGTATAGCCGATCAACATAGATCGTAGCTCGATAAATATGGAATATCTGATTTTTATCCATATGCCATGCCCCATATAAGATTACCCACATAGATTTGTCTAGGGACCAGAATTTTCGTCACAATAAGCGTATGAACGCTATCAGCGGAGTCGTTATAACCGGATTAAAAATTTTGAAATTTTTGATAAACTTATAGAGCAAGCAATACAAATCATTGGAAAATAGTTATATAGACTGCCAGTAAGATCAGCAGTAATCAACAATATATACTATATATGCTATATATGCTATATATATATTATACACTGTAACTGATCGAATAGCTAGATAATTGAGACTTTAAGGATATCAGCGGGCTATTGTACTTAATGCAACTATATTGAATATGAAGATCAAATTATGGAAACAAAATTGTTCCCGTTATCTTACAATTTTGAACCAAACTGTTATAGTAATTTCCATCCTCAAAAGATAAAGCTTTATAAATTATCCCAGGAATTATCATGAGTACATTATATAATGGTGATATTCCCCGACATACAAATGGTCTTGTTATACTCCCGAGTATATTTACCAACATTTATGTATCTATCTTCTCGCTTTTATGCTCCAAGGGTAGAATATTATACGATTTTCTATGTACTCAGAGGAGATACACAATAAAAACCTGAACACCTTATAAAACACCAAGTTAAACTGCTAAGCAAATAGCAATAACAGTATGGCCCCAAACCAATATACTCTTTTCCCCAGTGAAAAGGAGTATAAATACACGTATAAAGCCAAGTGCATTTGGGCTATTCACTCAATTGGCGTCGCTTTCATAGGACTTGCACAGGGCAAACAAGTTGCGTGTAAAATCTAATGTTTATATTTTTATTGTGGCACATTTCGGTGCTGCCTCCAACGGTTGCATGTCAACAGCGGAAGCAACAAAGTAAATCAACCATTTCCATGTACCACAAATACTCGTCAGCAAATTGATTTATTTTGTTTTTTTGTGTGTGTTATTTGCCGTATGTCGGCTGTCGGCTGTCGGCTGCTTTGGGGGCTTCGACTAAGTCCGGGGATCTAGTCGTTAACAACTACTTAGTTATAAGCAACATATGTGCTGATAACTGAAGATATCTAATGGCTGGCAACCGGTCCCATGTGCCTTGCGAAATATGTAAACAAATATTTTTCTACATTATGCATATGTCGCATTACGTAGTCATCCATTAAATGGGAGTTTTTTACTAAGCTCAATCTTAGCAGCGGTATTCAGAACTTGCCGACGCATTTGCTTAAGGTATTACCTAGTACTAGACTGCTAGACCTTGGTCTATCTACAAATTTATAATGATTCTTTTTCACTGTTTAACAGAAAGATTAGGCATTTGTGTATATTTTGCTTATAAGCTAAAAGTTACTTTTCTATGTTTTACTATAATGCCCAGTACTTTTTAAAATATGTAGGCATGGTATATTTTTGTTCATATAATAATATGTGAAATGTTTCAAACCACTCATAAAAACCTATAAAGTATTTTTACTGATCTGAAACAGTAACAATAGCCGAGTTCATAAAGTCAATCATCAGGCCGAATACGATCAGTAGCAACAGCCTGTGTCTGTATTTTGGTTCCATTCAGCCTGTCATTTCTTTTAAAAGTTCAATTATCAAAGCAATTTAATAATTCCGATTCAAGATTTCGCTTTTCAGTAGTTTAGATATTCTCTAAAGCTCTAGCCATTAATATGGTTTCTCCAATATTGATTTGAGAGTCTAGATTAAATTCATATTAATCATATATTACATTTGAGACATATATGCGATAGATATTTATAATAGTATTGAATCAATATTGTTGATTCTGATATTGAAATTTATTATTCTTCAGTTCTGTTTTACAGAAAGTTCGTCTATAGTTTCATATTTATTTCAAAATTAACAAGTAAGAAGGCTCCAGTCGAGACTGCTCGACTAGGAGATACCCTGGACCCTCCAAGCTGATATTCTAATCATTCTGGACTTATTTTATGCACACATACATACACATGCATCCACACGCATGCATAAGCCTGCGCTCTGCTAACTGCGCAGTAAGCAGCGACTGCGCTTGGGCAGCGCTGCAGTGTGGGCAATATTATGAGAATTTATTTGTTGAATAATTTCTTTTGTAGACATACGATCTTAATGAAACTTTTAGAGTGTAATCATATGGTGAATATGTGTGTAAATTCCAAAGCACAAGTCTCTAGTACTTGAAATGCGTTTTTTACAAATTGGGGGAAAAGGGGGCGTGGTATCCAAAATCTGTAAATTACAAAATCTTTGTATCGATTAACTTTATATACAACGCAAATTTGAAGACTCCAGGTCTAAAAGTGTTTAAATTAGGTTAAAAAAACAAAATCAATTTTTCGATTATTCTCGATAAAAAAGTTATCGGACGATTTATCGAAAAAATAAAGCAAACTCGTACTGCGTATGGTATACACGAGTATGCATGCCAAATTTCAGCTCTCTAGCTTTTGTAACTTCTGAGATCGACGCACTCATACGGACGGACGGACGGACGGACGGACGGACGGACGGACGGACAGACGGACGGACGGACAGACGGACAGGGCTATATCGACTCAGCTTGTCGCGCTGATCAAGAATATATATACTTTGTGGGGTCTGCCACGCCTCCTTCTGCCCGTTACATACTTTTTCACAAAACCATTATACCCTGATTTCCCATTTTCAATGGGTTCAGGGTATAAAAATGTATCTAGTATGCTATCTTCAATTAGTAGCTACAGATAGAAACACTAAATATAGTTTTAACATATTTCTTTTAAGAATTTGATAAATTTAGATATTTCTCCAATATTACTTGAAATGTTAATACACAAACATCTGTTTATTATGATAATATACCATAATAGCGTATATGTTGTGATATATAGTGGCTAATATATACACTGAGAATGCGCAAATATATACAAATACATCAAAGCCCATTCAAGCATCGAGTATAAGACATTCGTAGCCGCACATATGTTTATATGTACTTAAAAAAAAAAAAGTGTCTTGGCATTTTAAAGAATTTTTTTATATGAATAGTTCATTTTATAGAGCATAATCTAATTCAGTAGGTAAGCCAAATTGGTTGCAAATAGTAAAATCCATATTTTATGGCATATTTTTTTCAAGGTATGAAACTCTTCAAGGTAAAAGATATGGAAGCTATGAATATTCATACGTATAATTGAATAATTGGAGTGAAGAACATAACATTTACGGTTATCTGAAATTACACTTTTGTGATTTGTTAACATTGTGGCTTCAGCAATTCTTGACTTTATCAGGCCTCGCCGATTGAAAGAGACCGAATAGGGCAATGGAATTCCAGTTTGTGCGAATGCAGTCAAAATACATATTACGTTCCTTATCAAAAGCAAGTTTAGTATTGATGGTGTGACAACCATTGGAATAGTTGACGACTATAAGATACCCTGTATATTGTTTGAAAAGACATGATAATAATAATTCAGTTGAATACAAAATATGCTATAAAAAATCATATTGTATAAGATTATTTAATGCCCTGAGATTATTAAAAATGGGTATTGAATTATATATAAATAGAAAAATCCCCTGTTACCCATGCGTCCAAATATATATGTTCTTGATTATCGCTTGGTTCCTAATGGTCTATATGTCCCTTAACCTGTTCGATTGTTGATTCGAATTTGCCGCTTTACTGGAATGAAGTAGCGGGGAGCAGAGGCGATTAATAAATTCACAATATTTTACATTGATAAACACAAATTCATATAAAAGTCATCTGAGAAAATAATAGTAACTTAGTATACTTCAGTACATAACTAAATACATACATATATGTATATATGAGTAAACATAGTAAGCATAGGTGTATGTATGTATGTATATACATAAAAATATAGGCATGGCTCACGTAATATTTGGCCTTTCTTATTTTGCAAAGTGTGTAATAATATAGAGTGCGAAATGATTTTCGTTCGATCAATTCAATCAATGTTTGAGACAGACTATAGGGAACAAAAGCTCATAAACTAAAATATATATGGTGTATCTGTAGATGTCACGCGTATGATCGGAATACCCTTAATATTATTCGATAGACAACATATTTTAACTTGATATAAGTCATCATCCATCATCATATAGCATATACCCTTAATTTGTATAGTTTTTGTGGGCATACAGGGTATGAGAAGAGGAAGTTGAAAACAGTTTTTGCTCGATAAATGGCGCTGCATGGCTGTTTGCCATTAGTATAATACAACCGGCATAGCTAGAGCTACAAATACTTTCAATGTTCGCACACTTGCTCCAGCTCCAGGTGACGCCCACTGGCGAGCCCACGCCCACTTCCCATTAGAGTTTGGTTTGTGTGTGTTTATCGATATTGTTGTTGTATGCAAAGAGTCAGTCAAATGCCAACAACTACAACAGCTTTCAGCTAATATAGGGATACAAAATAAGCGAAGATATGTCAGAACGCCAAAGCAGCGCAGGAAAATAAAAGGACAACAAAAACAGAAACAGCAACAGCAACAGCAACAACAATGGCAAATAACGTGGGCGAGTGCCAGGAAAAGGCCTAAAGAAAATCGATAAAAAAAACTCGCACACATTTCACTGTTACCAGGGCCAAGAGAAAGACAGCGGTAGGCAGTGTCTGGAGTGTGGGTTGGCTTGAATGTTTATGGCCTGGCCAGGACTGGTTGGCAGAATGTGTGGCATTGTTGGCGTTGTTGGCGCTGTTGCAGCTGTTGGCCGCATTTTAGATGGCTTCTAGAAGCCTTTTGGCATTTGCCACTGTATCCTTTCGATTCGTTGTCATTGTCTCAACCACTATTGTCAGTGCCTGAATAAGCAAGTATGGATTTCTTTTCGGCGCTTACACAATCGACATTGCCTTTAACATGCACTTTAACAGTAACTTTTACTTGAGACCCGCTGCTAATTGGCTTTAAAACTCTTTAAAGGGAATCGCTGAATGCGGAAGTGGAGCCAAAGACTTTCGCACAGCATTTATGGCAGCTTATGTCAGGTGGCAGGTCATGGGGAGGGGGCCGTGTCGGACACATCCGATTGCACTCGGTCACGCCACCAAGACGCAATCGCTCGGCACTCTTTAAAAAAAAAAACGTAGTTGCGGCAATTTGTGGAAGTGGCAGGCGCCGTTGGTTCTGCAGCAGCGTTTTGGGCCATTAAACTGCAGGACTGGGTCTCTTCTTCTTCTCTGTTGTGTTTTTGCGTCATAACTAAATTGATTGGTCTGATTGGACATTGTGAGCAGCTGGCACTCAAGAAGATCCTATTTGCAAATGTATACCAGTTTTATGGGTCTCCTAAATCATGAAGAGGCAAAGCGAAACGGTTTGCTCCTCTGCATTAGGTTAATTGCTTCAAGAAATAAATCATGTCTCATCAGAAATTCAAAACATTGAAGCAAATCTTGTTTATATGAAATATTTTATTACTTTCGTTGTGTGTCTAATATACAGTTGGAATTTATTCAATAAAGTTGTCTCATGCAATATTGGCAGCATTGACTGACCTTGATAAAGACAAATTTCGTACCCCAAGCAGCCCTATGAAATCTTGAATTTGGCTTTACTGTATAGACTTCGGTTTAAAAACCACTTTGTTATAAGCTAAGTTTAACTACAATTTAATTTAAATAATTCGATTTGCCTTTAAAAGTTAGTTGGCAAAAGATTAAATTGACAGTATCTAATATAGTAGGTACAGAGAAATTTATGGGAGTCGCTTGAAAATTTAAAAAAAGGATCCTCGACTGGGTATATAATAAACATGTTAAAATTCAGCAGTTGGTAATAGTTAATCGTTAAATATTATGATTCTAACACTATAAAATATAATGTGTGGTAAATACTATTTAGACAGATCAGATATTAAGCTCCTTATAATAATTTATTTATTTAATATTTATTAGTTGGGCACAATTTTTAAGTTGTAGAAAGTACATATCTTTTTCATATTGATATTGACGCGAGAGTATGTATATATTCAAGTCTGTTGTCTTGCAAATATCATTGTTTTTGAGATACCGGAAATTGTATTGTACTTCGAGATTTGCTATGCCTCTAGTGGGCGTATTGGGAAAATCTTAACATTTGATCAGACGAAGGTATACCCGAGTTTATTTTCCAAACAGCAACATACTCATTTCATTACATAAGTGACTACAATAATTAATATAAATTGTTTCATTTAGTGTGTCCCATTTTGATTGAATGAATATACTGAAAATTCAAAGGTTTTAGTAAAAGCTTTCGCCATAATTTATAAATAACTTCTAATTTTCGCCTTATCGTGTGGGAATTATCTGCCTCACCATTTCACAACAAATTAATAATAACCTTTAAGGAATACAGAACTCATGTGTTTTCCTTAACAACCTCTGGGTGAGTTTGACATTTGAAGTTCAAGACTTTGCTTAGGTTCATATCGTTTTTGCGGCCCATCAGAGACTTGTGGGTGTGAGCATTTGAGAAAGGGATTGACCCAGTTTATCTCTGATGACCATAAGAACAAGAATATTCGTAGCAATAACAAGAGCAGCAAGAAGTTTTTATCATCTTTGTGGCCGTGTTACGTAGGCGTCGTTGTTGTTCCGTCTTCCTGGCTTCTGTGCTGCATTGATTACCTTGTCCAGATTACGTCAGCGGCGTATTGACTACTGATGACTACGGCCGTACATACCTAATGGGAATGACTGACGTCAACAGCGGATGAGATTATGACTCTCTGCTTCATTAGATGCCAGCGACGATTAAGTTAACTTAATGAAAAGACAACCGGTGACCCGTGGCGTATACCTAATCTTAAGGCAAAGCTATCTCTGAGGAGACTTCTTTGTAGTATAAGCTGAGCTACAACAATTTACTGCGAAAATGTTTCGGTATGCGATACGAGCATTTGCATAACAATAACAAACAACGAAAATCAGCTGTAATATAGGGCGTAAGTAGCTTGCGTGCGTCTTTTGCCAAATTTAGATTTCCTTTTGGGCTTTACTCTGTTCGATTATCAAAGCAATTTCGTCTATGTGGCTGAGCGAGTAGCCAAACAGTGGCAATAACAATAAGGTACATCCACAATAGCACGAAGTGCCTGCAGACGACACTGTGTTGGCCAAGGGCCCGCGCCTGCCCCAAGTTGCTTCACCTTAACTGGCCTTTTCATTTTGGCAAACAGCCCTGACATTTAACTGGCGCTCGACTCGTGCAGCTGTTGGTGCTGCTGCTCCTGCTGCGGCTCCTGCTGTCGCGTTGGGCAGGCGTCGTAACTCAGTCCAGTAATTACCTGGTAAAATTTTCATTATTGCCGCAGATTTATCAGCGGAACACCCTCGACTAATTGCTGCAGTGATGTCGTTGTCGTACCTTGGCTAATAAATCAAATGGGCCACAGAGTGCAGCGCAGATCCGGTCGAAACACATAAACCCATTGAATTATTTTTGCATGTCACTCAGCTGTGCCAAGATGAGAGGCAGCTCATCAAGGCTGCAGCGACTCGAAGCACTAAATCTGCGCAAATATATGATATATGTATAGGATATATATTGAAATAAGAGCACTATTCTCTCATGCATGCATAGCAAACAACACATGCATCCACACAAATCATGAGATCTGCTGCGCAGTTCACCCTGCGACTGTGCTTATGAGCTTTGCTATGAGAAATTATGGACTCTCTAGATATGTTGGTATTAACAAAAGACAGCCTTTAGTATCTGATATACGATTTGTTTTAATTTGGTTTATATTAATTAATATAATTATTATTAAATAATATTAATTAATATTTGTATATATTTATATATATATATGTATGTATGGCTCTTAAAACTGCATAACTAAATCTAAATTATAAATTTTTCCATCCCTTTTTATAATTGATGATCACATTCAATTCATGCAAATTCATTTGTATCTTTCAAAGTCCATCGAAATTGTTGAATTATTATAATGAATTCTTTAAATGTGTAAATATACATATATCTTACTCTTAGCTCTTTGATTGTAGGAGATTTTTATATTTATTTGGTGTAAAATCTTTACATCATAATTTTTACCTTTACAACATATAGATTGGTAGAGCAAAAACCCTTATTCAGTTTAAAGGCTAATTCTTCTAAAAAATTGAATCTTAGGACTTTAGCGCTTAATGATAGACGAACGGAACAATGAATGGACCGGGTTTGACTTTTTTGTTGAGCAAGCTCAAAATATGCATTGAAAATTATTAGTATTATACTTTCGAAGGATGAAGATTACCTTTGTTAAAAAAAATATAATATTTAAACAACTCAAACCGTTTGGGACACAAATTTCAAATTTTTCATGCAGTAGATCAAAAATTATTTGAAAAATAATCATTCAATCGAAATCATATGTTTTGCATAATATAATTTAAATTTAAACCTACGTGCAACCTGAATTTCTTTTTAAGTTGCCCAAATTGTTTGAGAACAAGATATTGAAGTTCCTCAAATTTATAAAAATTTCAAGCGAATAAATTGTTGCCTTCTAATTGATATTGAAGTCAATATTTTAATTATTGAAATGAAACATATTGAGATGATAAATTCAGTTTGATTATTTTCAGAAAAATATTTAGAAAGTATAATGAGCAAATTGTCCATTAATCGTTTATTTATCTGGTCTCCGAGCAAGTAAAGATGGTAGAGAGTATATTAAATTAAGTCTAGTGCACAATAATATGTTGACTTATCAATGCAATTGTTAATAATTGCGAATGATAAGGATATTTATCTAATTTCTTGGGTTTTATCAATCGGATAGTAGATCTCGTGTGAAATTATTGTTTCTGTGCAAGACAAATGTGTATTTTTATTTTTTTTTTGCAATAGAATAAGGTCGTTCTATATTTAAAAACTATTTTTTCACTTACTTTAAGTTTAATTTTTACTTTATGTTTAATAATTACTAACGGCATCCTTTTGCTCTGTTTTCTTTCAGGTCGTACTCGTATTTATACTCAGCATTGCATCTCTCATTATATATTTTGTTGATGCATCTAGCGAAGAAGTTGAAAGATGCCAAAAATGGAGTAATAACATTACTCAACAGATCGATCTCGCATTCAATATATTTTTTATGGTTTACTTTTTTATACGAGTAAGTTCTACACGTCATGCTTATTATATTTCTTGATTTTTTCTTTCTGATCGCAATTCGATTGGCCATTAAGCCATTAGTTAATAATTATTTGTAATTTGATTTTGGAAAAATTGTAAATTGTAAATTGTGTTCTTTTTATTAACAATTTTTTTCCAGTTCATAGCGGCGTCCGATAAGCTTTGGTTTATGTTAGAAATGTACAGTTTTGTAGATTATTTTACAATACCCCCGTCCTTCGTATCAATATATTTAGATCGAACATGGATCGGTAAGCGCAACAAAAGAATTACCTAAATTTATATTAATTCCCAACAACAATTTGATGCATACAAATCGGTTTCAATGTCGAAGATTTTCATATTTTTACTATCCCCCTCCCATACACACACACACACACGCACGCATAGAAATGCGCGAACACACGTTACCGTTACCGTTAAAGTAATACTTCATTTAAATAGCTGTAAAAGGTCCTTTTACCGCGTGCCAGGATCGATTTGTATGCATGCAATGTGCTTTACTCAACATACATACATATCCACATATATGTATGTATGTATGTATGTCTCTGTGTATGTGCGGCAATTATAATCTGTGTCCATATATATGTGTATTATAAACAGGTCTTCGATTTCTTCGAGCGCTACGTCTCATGACTGTTCCAGATATTTTACAATATTTAAACGTACTAAAAACATCGAGCTCAATACGTTTGGCTCAACTAGTATCAATTTTTATATCCGTGTGGTTAACAGCAGCGGGCATTATACATCTGGTATGTAGACACACAAACACATATACACACTCACCAACACACACACCTACACACGAACACTCAACAGAAAAACGCACACACACACCCACACACTCACACTGTATTCAGCTATGCATGACGACCGTCTTCCAGCCGGCTCTGTGACAGCTCTGCAGTGCGTGCTTGAGCCAGTTGAAGAGATTACGTATACGCCGCGCGGCACGCTGTCACAGAGCACGAGTGTGGCAAGCTGACGCTGATAGCTGAGGAGGGCATGCGTGGCGTTTTTTTGCAGTGCCCCAAAAAGGTTCCATTTGTGTTCAATATGAATAATCGCTGATGCGTATTTATTTGCAATTGATCGATTGCAATTGCATTTACTTAAAATTTAGCTGGAGAACTCTGGCGATCCGCTGGATTTTAATAATGCTCATCGTTTATCTTATTGGACCTGTGTCTATTTCCTAATTGTGACCATGTCGACGGTAGGATATGGTGACGTTTACTGTGAGACTGTCTTGGGAAGAACATTTCTCGTGTTCTTTCTGCTCGTCGGCTTGGTAAGTTGAACAACAAAATGCTGAAACACTGAAACAAATTACACATTAGCAACAAATATGTCAATGAATCCAAACTCTCTTTTAGCAAATATAGACAATGTTTCTCTCTCTCTCTATGTCTCCTTCTCTAACTCTCTCTCTCTCCCAATTCCCCTCGGTCTTACCCAATTCACATCGAGGCCCATTGAGTTTTAGGCCAAGCGACAGCGGTGTTGTCAGTGTGGCAATGTGTGAATGGTTCAAGTTCTGATTGTTGCCAAACGTACCATAGTACAGTTGCGCTCAAAACTAGCTTAGAGAACAAGTATCCAATAGAACATGTAAACTATAGCCTCCAGTAACAGTAACGTTAACAGTACCAGTAACAGTACTAGTAACAGTAACAGTACCATTAGCCCAAGTACTTTACTCAACCTGAAGTTGCCCCTACAGAAAATACAATCCGAGTCTTAGCTTAAGGATTTTATCAAACAATTTTACACTTTATTCAATTAATAATCTAAAAAAAAAAAAGAGTATTTAAACGATATGCTACGTTTTTTTCTTTGTAAATACAACATAGAACGACTTAATAATGGTGCACCGAATTAATTATGAAAGTTTTTACTTTGAGACTAAGTTTCATTTATCTAACTATCTTAAGCATTCATCAATCAAAGTTTCGTTAGTTTGACATCACTTGTAAGTAAGCTTAACGCGTTCCAACGTGCGGTCTCATTATCCACTCTCGATTTGCTCTTATCTCTACCCGCACTCTCAGCGACATATACTACATACTTACTCGTACAGCAGCTGGTAGTTGATTAATTTTGAAAAAAAAAAAAAATAAAAACAGTTGCCTTTCTCCGTTTGTCTTTCTTTTTTTCTGTTTTTTTCCTTCTTTTGAATCAAACTCGAAACAGATGCATGCAGTTTATCTATTTTTTGTATACATATACAATATATTTGAATCTTCAATTTACCTATGATTTGGTAACAAACTACAACAACACCAACAACTCGTAGACACCGACACTGACACTGACACCGACAAAAAAAAAAAAAAAAAAAAAAAAAAAATGAAATTGCAAAACAAAAATGTATTAGGAAGACAGCGAGAGGGATCATACATATATATATTATATATAATAATAATAATAATCAAAATGTTCCCCATATATAAGGTATTTGCTTTTTATTACTGCATGCTTTATGCTGGCTGCCGCAAATTTGATTTGAAAGTAATTTAACCCAACTGCTTTAAGGTTCATACTCAGATAAGCAACTTAATTTAGTGTAACCATAAGTAAGAGCCTCCTTTGGTGTGACTGCCTGACCTCGATTCGTACCCGTGAAGCAGAGGAAGTTATTTATCTGTAAACCTGTTGCTCTACCACACACACACACCTCTTAGGTCTTAAGAATCTTTGATTTTGCTCAACAAACTTGTTAATTTCTTGCTGTATTCGTATGTGTGGCATATACATATATATATTTTAGGCAATGTTTGCCAGCAGTATACCGGAAATAATTGAACTCGTTGGTAGTGGCAATAAATATGGCGGTGAACTGAAAAGAGAACACGGAAAGAGGTAGTCTATAACATTCCAATATTCAATAAAATAAACGACATAAAACATCACATTTAATCAAGAACAAGAAATGAGAATCATTAAAATGAAATGGATAATACTATAAAAACAATTAAACACAAATATCGATCAATTAATATCAAGTTGAAGATGCACCGAATAATTTGCATTTATTTGTAAAGAATAGATCAAAGATCTATATAAAGTATATGCTGGAAAACTTTAGTATGAACTTTAGCTTTGCTTTTTCCAGCAGCTCAATTTCAAAACTTGAATTAAAGTCAAATGAGGGCTATGAATGTGCTTAGCATTCGTATTAGGAACACAACAACAACAAAAACAAAAACAACTCATAATCAGTAATCAATTAGTTACGTTAATATTCAATTATCAAATTACGTACTTAGTCTGTTACCCTTTGTTATATATATCCGTATACTTTTATAATTTACCAAATGGATTTGTATTTTGGTAACTCGCATACAAAGTTGACTGTAATGCAAAGTTCTACTAATATATACTATATATTTACCCATCATCAAATGTAGCTGACAGTCAACTCTGACTAATAAAAGTCATCTGATTACCTAAATAACTTTTCAATAAAATATATATCTTACCACAAAAAAAATAACATGATATTGATAAATCATACAAGTATAAAGAACTTTCCATATTATTATTATTTAAATGATTTTTTTTTAAATACAGATCAGTTAGTCGTCTATTTTTTTTAATGTCAAATAATTATGTTAGGGTTTTTGTATTTGTATTTTGCTTTGATTTATTGATGAACTCTCACACATTGCTTTCAATTAGTTATCAATTCGTTCTCTAAACACTTTGTAGGCGTGTGTTTTACATGAATTTTACTTTTGGCCCGAATACTCTGTCCATTTCTTGCTTTTCCGTTAACATTTGAGTTATGTTTGATTTGCATTGCTTTCCGTTTTGATTTTGCAATAAATAACACCAGAAGTACAAAACAATTTCAGAATAGTTAACGGTTTGTTTTTTAATCATTTGTTCAACGTTTTACAGCATTTGAGCAACATTTACGGCGCCTTCTTGTTAACACGATTAAACTTAAAAAAAAAACATCGGTCACGCATTGCCAAAAAAAAAAAAAAAAAAAAAAAAAATACAAATAAATTTTTAAGTACACGTAAATATGTTAATTTCAATTTGAAGAGAGTTTAAGCTACATTTTGCAATAATTAATTCAATTTTTAAATATTGATCCTCAAGTAAAACATTTTTTGTCAGTGTCACCGTAATTTCTAATACCTTTACAATAATATTTATAATTATTTGGATTTTCATTTCAATTTGTTTTATTTTGAAAGACAACTTCCAATCAAGTATTATAATATAAATATATATTGTAATATTTGGAAATTGTCTCTCGCTTCGGTAAGCCGAGGCTTCTGTTTATTGTATAATCACTCAACAAGGCATTTAAGCATTTAGGTTTATTTATTACTCAACAACTCTATCTTTCTCTATCATTGCATAACATTTAGCCTACTCACTAGAATTGGAAGCTATCGCCATTTAAATTTCACCCCTTCCCCTAAAAATAAAAAAATAAAACTCATTCGTGCGCGCCTAGCTGAGTCGAGACTAACTTCGCACACTTCTAGGCAGCCATAGAGCACTTGTCGTGTACAGCTGTAAATCTGTAAATTTTAGACCTTGAACAAATACGTAACTACAGTAAATATTATATTTAGATGCGGTAAAAGTGAATATATCTTTTCAGAGATCCAAAACTGTATATAACGAAAATATAAATAACAACCAAAAATCAATTGTAAAATTAGCTGTAAAATTGAGCGAATGTCAAAAGTATGCGAGCGCGTATGTATGTATGTATGTATGTATGTATATATGTATATGAGAGTGTATGTGCGTATGTATGTGTGTGTGAGTGAGTGATCGGATTGAGAGTGTGTGTGCATCACCAGCGTGAACCGTGTGGTTGTGGGGGAGCTGTGCTTCCTCCTCTTGTCCAGCGTTGTCTGCTTACTTTCATTCACGTCGTCGCGTCGTCCCCCTTACGAGTCTTGTGAGTGTCGCATTAAGTGGAGTACTGTACTGCAAATTCTTTTTAACACAACACCATCCAAAAGACCAGCAACATCAACTAGTTAGCCAAATACTAAAACTGCAATTGTAACTGAAACTGAACTATTTTGGCACTTCTCTCTATATTCTAAAAGTGTATGTGTGTTGTTGAATTTAGGCCGTGTTCGCTAGTTGGATACCAGAAATCACTGAACTGGCTGCCCAGAGAAGCAAATATGGTGGAACTTATAGCAAGGATCCTAGAAAAAGGTACACGAACACGTTGCTGGCTGTACCACAAAAAAAAAAAAAAACCAAAAAAAAAAAAAAAAAAAAAAAAAAAAACAAATACAACAAAAAATGCAATAATATAAATCAAAAACCAAATAACAAAAACTACACCAAAAATATAAAATACCATAAACTATAAAGCTACAATCGCTACAATCGAATTAACCTAAGTTTTTCTTATATTGCATTCTTACTAAACTTCAGAAATTCAAAATGAACAACCTTTTATACGATCTCTTATTATTATTTCATTGCCGTTTTATGTCCTTATTTTTTTTTTTTATTTTTGTTTTTCTTATTATTAGTTTTTTTATTTTAATTTGAGTGTTATTTGACGTCACTTGAATTTGCATAAAAATGCTCAGACATTTGTTATCAAACTCTTCTGCTCAGCAACTGACCCACAGAGCAGTTGATTAAAACAGCAACGAAAAAAAAAAAAAAAAAAACAGAAATACGAAAATCAGATCTGAAACCACTTAAAACAGTTGCAGGCAGCTTGAATTGAATATTAAAAAGAAAAAATGTTAAGTAAATCAAATTTGAAACCTTTCGAAATACCCATAACGGCATTGGTTTCTTGGTGGCATGTGAAAGAGCAAAAGAAAGAGCAGAGTTCCGACTCGGCTCTCTTGAATGAAATACGTAAATCAAGCAAGGCTTAAGCTTAAATGTCGAATTCTTTGGTTGTTGTCAAATCCTTCTGTAAGTCTTGTTATCTCTCTAAAACATAATCAAAATGCTAAGCATCATCACAATTGTTGTTTGTCAGTTGGCTTCCTTAGATGATGAGAATGTATGCAAAGCAGCAGTTTCTCTGCTTTAATTGAACCCAAAAGCTTTTGCCCTAGACATCGTAGCGCCTGGCGGATATGCTACACTTTTTTCCAAACACACATTGCAATATCTATATATGAATATAAGCAGAAATTCTGGCATCTGTCTTCACACATTACACTACAACAATGGATTACTACTCGTACTGCTACGATTCGAATGATAAATACTCTGTATACGTTAGTGTGTATGTAGTTTGGCTTTGACAGTAACATTTATTGATTTCGTATTGTATTCGTTGCGCTGCCATAACTCAAAGCATGCATCACATTTGTTATTGATTCATTTCGGAATTGATTGCAAAAACAAGCCAACAGAGCAAACAAATTTATATACACACACACACACACACAAAAAAACACACACATACACACAATCTACATATTTGATATGCTTAATTCGAATTTTTGAAAGACAATTTACAGAAGGGTTTGAATTAGTTGTGTGTGAGTGCTAAAAAAGAAAAGAAAAACCAAAAAGAGAGCAGAAATCGATGAATTTTGGCATATTTAGCTGACGCCGATGCATGGCTTCTGAGTTCTAAAGCAGAAGTCTAAATAAATATATATTTTGTTAAATACAAATCCTGATTTGTTTTTACATTTTAAAGCTTGCTCTATTTTCCTTTAATTTTGTTTTTCTTTTGAAGAGCAATTATCTATATATGTATATGAAAACTTAAAGTGTCAGCTTATCTTGTATTTAATTTTGGGCTTCACTTAAACCCTTTTGAAGTTTGCCAAAAAGGTTTAACGAGCGAGTTTTTATGCAACTTCAGAGCAGAGTCAATTTATACAACAAATTGGTTTTGTTTATAGTTTTAGTTATTCCCCCGTTGAAATGCTTCGAACCAAATAGCTTTTTTCTAACTTTGGTTTTTGGACTTTCTTACAAATAAATAACAAAAAAAATAATTTACAAATATTAAAAAAAAAAAAAAAAAAAAAAAAATGCATAACATTAAATTGTTTGTTGGTTTGTTTGTTGGAACACACACCACGTTGCCGCTTAAGTTCTGTATTGATTTGATCTATGAACATTAATAATAATTTATTCGAATTTTAATACACGTTTTATAATTCTACTTAAATACTACATAAACATTAAACAATGAAGTAGATATGTTTTTTGCAATTTTATCCACTACCTACTTACATATTATATTGAATTCACTTGTAATTACAAACATACATAGCTACACACACACACACACACACAGACATATCAAGTATGGCATCGTGAATGGCCATGCTGAACACAATTTATACAATTTACATAGTTAATCATCATCTCTATTAAACATACTTAAAGTCGTTAATTTGCTTGCACCTAACTACTTAGTATGCCGCAGCCACGCATATAAGAGTAATGAAGCTGCGCGAATCGGCGCTGCGAAACTCTCTCGATGATTTAATTAAGACAAACAATTTATTTGTTATCAGCAATAGTTGCAGTATCTCTGTGTTTAATCGTTATCAGCATCAGCATCAGTATCCGTATCCGTATCAGTATCAGTATCAGTATCAGTATCAGCATCATGTCCACATTCGAATACTCTTTCCCGATTCCCGACTCCAATTAAGTATAGACTCTCATGTACACCATCCACAGATACAATGATACAACGCGTTTTGTTTGTTCTCTATGATTATAATTATGAACTGTTATTGGAAATCCACACACACACACGCACACACAAATGTAAAATGCAACACCCGATCTTATCGTAGTTGTAGTGACCAACAGGCGCCAAAGCCCAGACCTATCATCCAGCTAAGGTCAAATTAGATTTGCATTAACTACTGATAGCTGTCTGTACTTGGCCCTAGAGATCTTCGCAGTTACTATGTGTGCTCGATTTATATCCCAATACATACACATACATATATATACTCTCTATCTATATATATATTATAAGACAACACGTTCCCCCAAGAAATCGAAAGCCTATTCCAAAACGGATAAAATCAACAAAATTAGCTGCAGACTGTTGAAATGGTTGGATGATTTGTGAATAAAAGTAAAATGATATGATTTTGTTTTCCTTTCTATTTCATTTCGATACGATATTCTTTTATTATAATTTCTATATATCAGTTCTATATGATTTCCAACATTTAGCAACTTCAGTTCTCACAAATATGACGACTGGCGTTATCATCTAAAAAACAAAATAATAAAAACAAAACACAGCAATAATAAATGAAAAACTGACAAAACCACCATAGCATCAATTAGCAGGTAAAAAATAAAAAAAAAAGTGTCGTCAACGTCGTTGAGCTATCTATCTATCTAGCCATAAACTTACATTGTAACTGTATCTATATAGCTTTTGTCTGCCAGTCGATATTTCACTCTGCCAACATATGTATAGTTATATATATATATATATATTCTCTTCCTCTGTCATCCCGTTGTCTCTGTCTGTTGAGCCCCTCGCGTTCTCTGATCTGCGGCTATATGAATTTTTGTTTTATTTGTACCAATTCAAAAGACAACAAAACGAAATACTTCACTATCATCATTATCTTTCATACTGAATACAGGCGATTTTTGCAAGTTGTATACCTGAGATTATAGACTTGATTGGAACAAGAGCCAAATATGGGGGCACATTAAAAAATGAAAAAGGGCGAAGGTGAGACCAACTAAATTTTCTTACAATCAATAGACAAATAAATAACCAACAACTGATCTTAAAAATGTAAACAACCAGACTACTTACAACCACAAAAGAAAAAAAAAAAAATGAAAAAAATATATAAAACATTTTCTAAGTCAGTAAAAGTTTTCAATTAACCAAAAGACTTTGCTCTGATCATTAAACACCAAATCAAAATGAAATTTCTGCAAGTGACAAAAAGAAAAGAAAAGAAATGTGAATATTAATCAAAAAGAAAATGAAAAAAATTATATCTCTGTTGTGCAGTATTTACTTTTACTTTGCGCTTCATTCATTCAAATCCTTTTCGCGTGAAAATATAAAAATCTGAAATTTGATTTTGATTTTAACAAAAAATTTTAACCAGACAAAACATACTACTACATAACTATATATACATATATGTATATATATACACACATGTATATATATTGTGTATATACACTTCTACAAATGTTCCAGTGCCACACAAACACACACACACTCACACTGAAAGCCTCACAGAGCGCGGCCAACTAACAAGCATAGCAGCAAAGCAGCTAGCGAACGACATCAAAACACACATATTACTCATACGCCCCATGAGCCGGTATGGCTATCCAGCAATACGTTGCTATACCTTCTAACAACAACAACTACTACTATCCAATCAATCCATCACAAACTCAAAACGATTTCAGAACATTCGATCGATCAAACACACACCCACACACACTCACACACAATTACATTTACAACAACAAAAACAAGAACAACAACAAATAATTCTGGCTAATGAAACGAAATTACAAATGCAAAAGCAAGAATCAACAAGAAATTTAATACAGAAATATATTTATACCTTTAAATTTTAATTTACAACAAATACAACCACAACAACAACAGAAGAAACAACAACAGAAACAACAACAAGAACTCATTTTGTATTCGTCTCTTGATTCATTTTGCTTTCTATTATTCGCTTTATTTCAAACTTATTGTGTCGTCTACGTTGCTCTACGTAGTTAAACTAAACTGCCAATGCAGGCGTGGCATTTAGGTATTTACTATATTCTCATTTAAAGGCTCGCCCCATCGATATGATTTGATTAAATTGAATATATAAATATATATATCTATATGATTTGAATTGTATTTGATTTATTTTTGGATTGGCATTTTTGAGAACCATTGAAACCTGTTTGAAAACAATACAAAAAAATAAAAAATAATAACAATAACAACAAAACATATATCGTACTTAAACTGTTCTGAGTGTATAATGTGCGTACTCTTAACTACCAAATTATCTTGTTGTAACTTTAATAAATTCTTATTGATCGCCAAAATTTATCAACCTACTCTTCTGCTCTCTTTACATATCATATCTATATCTTGTTAACAAATTTTGATTACCTTCTTCATTTATTAGTTGTCCCAGCGCAAATTCACGGCGCAGGTGTTGCACGTTTTCAGTTTCTAATCTTTAGTTGACTCTACAAAAAACAAAACCGAAAAAAGAGGAATAAAAATAAATCCCAAACAAAAAACATCAATTAGAATTTCACCTAAGTAAATAGGCAATGGGGTGGGGTGGGGCAAGATTGGCTAAAACCGAACCTGAACGATTTTTTATGAATTTTGTTTGTCCTTGGTTAAACTTGTTTTGTATGCCATCATCTAGTCATGTTGCATTTTATTAGCCCTTGGAGAATCAGTGATTGGTGTTTAATAATATTGTGTTAAATATTCGTATTTGTCTATATAGTCCTTGATAATCGAAACTCGTAATTCGTATATAAATAAATAAATATATATATATGTATATTATGCAAATCAATTAAACGATCAAAACATCCAGCGATAATAATGCATATTAAAATATTCCATTAAATAACGAAAAACAAACAACAACAGCAACAAACGTATACGTAAATATTAGAAAATCGCATTAAACAATGTACACACACCTAACTTCATTTGTCAAATGGTTATAGAGAAACTCTCACATTTTTGAGCATTTAAGCAACTCCTAAATAAAGCAGCAGCCCCTTGAGATCTGTAATCAAAATCCGAATCAGAATCCGAATTAGCAATATTTTTGTCTAGTCCGTAAACTGAATTACGTGAAGAGCTGCATTATTTTGAGTTTGGTTTTTAAGTGCAGTTCTTCTAGCCATGCATTCGATTTGTTCAATAATCATGTGACATCAAAACTAAATATGTGTGTGTACAATATCTTAATAAATAAAATAAAACTAACGATGCTCATATATATACAAAACATATAATACTTTTAATCTCTGTCCCAACTCTCTCTCTCTCTGTCTCTCTGTGTGTGTCTCTCTCTCTCTCTCTCTCTCTCTGTCAATCTGTTTATGTCTCAGTTATAAGCTACTTCCTATTAATGTTGTAGTTCTTGAGAAACTTGTATTTATGTCTTCCGCTATATAATCGATTTCATAAATTATAATATATAAAGGAAAACCAAAACCTATGTAATTGTTTGATTTCGTATCCCCTTGGTTCTTTTTATTGTTTCTGTCTGTGCTCTCTCTCTCTCTCTTTCTATTCTATTCTATTTTATACTTCTGTCAAACGAAAAACCACAATAAACCATATTACAATCAATAAATAAACGAATTGGCGCATATAACAAGCCCCAACACAACTTAACATGAACATCAATCAATTTGCGTTGTAATTTGTACTGCTGTTAGATATATACGTAACTCTCAACTCAACTCAACTCTATTAGCTCTATCAGCTCTATCAACTCTATCATCGTGTTATGTGCTATGTATGGATGCGATTTAGGAATTGGCTTGAACTGATTGACGCCATTTGTCACACAGTAATCCATACCTTACCATTTAGTTCTCTGAATCGTGATTGACATGAAGTTGTTGAAGAACTATATACTAATCATATCTCATATAGAATTGGGATCGCCTAGGTCGAGACTTTGTAATGCGTTCACAGTCTTTGGTGAGTCTTGAGTGCGGTTTCTGGTCATAAACTCATGCCGCTTATCGAAAACGCAGAAACCTACACAGATGTGTGATAACCAAGAGAAATTCATATACCCGATACCAATACATCCGAATCCCACCAATACATTAAGCACACATTCAGTTATTTTCAAGCTCTCAACTAGCAACCATCTCTGTACCCATTTTATGTGGTTCATTTTGAGTTATTTAGCCCCATCGACATTTATACCAAATTCATGGCACGTTAAGGACTCATATGAAACGTAAACCTCATTTGTTCAATGGATTCTTTTTCGGTTCCTTTTTGGTTTTTAACATATGCATCATGTGCGGAACACATGAACTGTATCGATCTTAAAAAGTAAATAGAATATCTATATGAAATGCGTGGCCAGGCAAAAACTTTTAACTTTTCACCTATTCGAATCTATTCGTTTCCCCCGATACTATTGCATTTTGAGAACAGCAACCACAAACAGCACATTTTTAAGCAAAATGAACACAACAACGAAAAAGCATTGCAATTTAGATTAGTTCTAGAGTTAGTTAGCTTGCTTTCGATTTAGAGAATGAAACGAAACTTTTTCCCAAACACCAAAAAACTCTTTGACACTATATAGCGAAATTCATTCACCAAAATCACAAGCAATCATCAAAATAATCAACTTAACTCATTTACTCAACATTTCTAAGGTCATTTCTCGAGTCGATAGAGGATATCAGAGATAAAGATATCCTACTTCCTTTGAGTGTTATCGGTTCGTTTAAGCCACAATAAATTTATCGTGAGCTGATGATTAAAATAAATTTATGGAATTTGTGTTTCACATTGGACTTGCGGTTTCGTTTTTTTTTTTTTTTTTTTTTTGTATCAACTGGATGAACTTGTGAAGGACTCAAACGGGTCTCAAATTACTTTGAGACAAGTGCAAAATATAATAAAAAATAATTAAAAAAAAAGATTATTTGAGTACACATATATACATACATCTTTCATACATTCAACTCGAGCTTGTAGTCAGATATGGTGCCTGCACCCTCCCCTTACCCGCCCACACAGCCCCAACCACGGCCACACCCATACACCCATACACAGAAACACAACCACACACTAATTTAGTTATAATCAGAAGTACGCATGTTTTAATTGATGCACCCTAATTGCAATTAGTTAAGTAGGGGAATGAGTATGCCTGCCCGAGTTTGCCTGATTGCATGCCTGTCATAAGAGTTACAGCCCTAATACATAATAATACATATACTATAACATACCTATATATACTCGATATGAAGACACTGTAGTAGTTTGGATTGGAATGAGTGTAGCCCTGTATACCCTGTATATATGTTAAGTAGAGAGAACACACAATTATTTCTAGTACTCGTTGATGCTTTATACGATGCATGTAAGTTGAGTAATACCAACGGTGTGCGTAGCTATTCTTTAGTTAGTGAAACTCTTTTGGTTTCTCTTTCACTTTCGATATCGTTTGATTTGTGAAATACAAATGCAAAGCTATGGACCCAGTTGAATATTAAACAAGCGCTTTGCACCTGTACCTGTACGTATTTTAATTTTAATCTTTTTTTTATTTTCGTTTTTTTTTTGTTTTTTTGTACCTTTAATTTTGTGTTCAAAGAGATTTCTGGGGTAGCAGACTAAATTCATGCATATTGCAGTGATTCTTCATTTAATTGTATTTTTTTCGTGTCTACTATATAATTTTGTGTATTTTAATTTAATGAAAATACAATGTAATTTATAATTATAATACTGTTTACTGTTTTAACAACAAAATAACACTGACAAGTTGTAATAGTAATTATAATAAAAACAAATCAGTTGATAACCTAAACAAATAATATGAAAATATTAATCTATAAATGAATAAGAAAAACATTTAAAAAAAAAAAAAACACCAATTATATATAATACATACATATACTCATACACACACACGCACACATTCATCCATTACAACTGTAACTAGTTGAGCTTAATTGCAATCGTTGGTAAAACTAAACAAAATTCAGTAGAATTTGTTTGCCAATGATTGCAGCGCACACAGATACACAAACACATACACACACTCGTACACACATGCGCATACATATATACATCGCACACATACTCACTGCACACTAATACAGCTAAACTACACGCAACACGATAGTTGTGGCATGTCAAGTGTCACACTGCTTCTGCATCCCACTCTAGAATTAAGTCACACTTTTGCTTATGAATCGACTGCCAATTCCAGAGAATTTACTAATATATCTTTCTTCCTATTACACACAAACACACCAACACCCACACACACACATAGACATATTGTGGTATGCGGTCACATAACATACGAGTCCGTGTCGCATTTCCTGAAGGACTTTCTGCACGAAGATCGTGAGGATGTCGACGTCGAAGTAGTCTTTTTACATCGGTAAGTTTGCTTTCTGATCCCGATTTCCTTTTTCCTTTTTTTTCGTTTATTTCGGTTTTTTCTTTTGAATATCGATCAACGATCAAAAACACTTTTTGCCAATTTGTACAATTGATTATTTAAGTTTCATTCCTAAGTTTCGTAAATGTGTTCTATTATACGATAATTCAATAATTTAGTTAAAGCAATCAGTAAAGAATACAAATCAGTTTATAAGCAGAATTATTATTATCGACCTCGCCGCAGGCAAGACACATTTTGTTTTGCTCTCTCTTTCGCTCTTGCTTAGAGAAGGTCTTAAACAGTTAAGTCTATAAATAAATTAGTCAGCGCACTTAATTTAAGCATCATTGCATTATTCAAATTAGTTCGTAGCTAACACAAAATTCCAATTATGATTTTAATTTTGATTTGGACTTTTTTTTGTCATATACCTTAACTTGTTCTACATAATTGATTAATATTAACTATATATATATATATATAATATAACGTAATGTAAAACAAAATAGCAAAGAGCCCGACCTGGAGCTAGAGGGACTGCTGAAGCGCCACTATACAACAGTGGCGTTTTTTCAGGGCACAATGATGAACGCAGTCGATCTGGAACGAGTCAAGGTACACAATAACACTGCAAGGAGCAAAGCATAAAATACATACACATATACAGAGAGACACACACACACGCGACACAAACACAACACATGCAAACAGAGTACACAAACTACAAATATACTGAAGTAACAACTGATCAGCCAAGTCCAGCCAGAGTTAGGCCGAGCCGAAGGTGCTCTGCCCTCTGCAAGGGTACATACCCTGTCTGTGTGTACATAGATAGGCATTAGCTCGACCACATACTAGTTTATAGACAGCGTTCGGCTGACAACAAAATGCAATCGCCTTTCACCCACTACAATATAACTGCCCACCTCAAGTCCCTTAGCCTTTAGACTTTAGCCTGCCATAATTCGCTGGCGACAGCCCCAGCCACAGCCACAGCCTCAGTCACAGCCACAGCCCGAACTCTCTCTCTCAAAAATTTGCTCGTTCTCACTTTAATTTCTTGCAATTTTTCTTAGAGATTTTTGATTCTTCCATATTCCTTTGTTCACTTGACACGTGTAAGATACTTGCAACAAGGATGATGATATCTCAGTCGGCTGTATCGCGTTTAAGCTTTTGCAAATCTACAATAGTAAATATAATTTTGATTTCATTTTTCGTTGATGGAAAACAAAACTCTTAAAAGGAATATACCCTGTACTAGTTTTTATGTAAACCACTTTCATTTCACTCTTTTCCGATTCCTACAATAACTACATACATATCTAACTAGTAATGTTTTCGATTTGTTCACGTTGGCATTAAGTAATACTAATAACCTGCTCAATGGAATGTCCTTTTAGCTGAAATTTAATTGAAGTTTGAATTTTCTATACTATTATTTCATAATTAATAACATAGAACTAGTTTATGAATATAAATATATATATATATATATATATTCGATTATATATATATTTACATTTTGCATAGCATAAGATTTTATATTTTTAAATTAATATACATATTCTTTTGATTCGCAGCACTTTATATTTTTTCAATCTAAAGTTTATTCAATTTTTTCCCTCAACTTCAAATTAGATTTAAGTTTTCATATCTATGTATTTGTAATACCCTGATATTTATGTATTACACATATGTAAATATGTATGTATTTTTATTAGATATAAAAGCTTCTATTTTAGATAGGATTACAGTATGAATCAGATAATTTAAGGCAACTTAAGGGTCGAAAATAACTTTAAAATCTTTTACTTTTGTACATAAATAATTAAATATATTTACATATACTATAAAGTGAAACTGATAATTGATTCCTAGTATATTTTAATTTAGTTGTAAACGTATTGAGAATTATTTGTGGCAATTTCATAGAACATTTCGCCTATCGCACACTTAATTTCTTCGATCAGAGACTTTAATTTCATTTTCGGTTTCTTTTCATTTTCTATTCTTTCGTCATTCTCTCGCATACTCCAACTGCACAATTATGAAACAATGTGTATCCATTGTGTTTTCACACAACACACACACACGTAAATCTTTTCGGTTATAATACTATCCATTTCTATGCCAAAATCTGTGTAAATTGGAACTCTAAACTTAACACAAAACAACTCAAAAAAAACTTTGTACTATTTTTTTCAAAAAACAAAAAAATCATATAAATATATATACACACATATATATTTACGTCCAAAACTTAATGACCAAAAACTAAAAATAAAAAGTAAACCACCCGATTTGGAACTTGAGGGTTTGTTCAAACGTCATTTTACCACCGTGGAGTTCTTCCAAGGAACCATTATGAATCCGATTGATCTGCAAAGGGTTAAGGTAAAACAATTTTTTATTTTATATGTTTCTCTATGTTCGTTGGTTAATTTACTTAACTTTTTCATTTTCTTGCTGTTTCTGTTGTTCATTTTAATTGTGCGTGTTGCCAAACCAAACCAAACCAAACCAACCTAAACCAAACCAAACAAAACAATACCAAACAAAACCAAACCAAGACAATTAACTTCGTATTAACATACTTAACATATTTACATACTTACCATACTTACGACTTATCAAACACCTGTACTAAACTTATTACACACATTTGTATATATATATATATATCTATATATATGTAAATATCTATATATGTATATATATAGGTAGAATGTATGTATATGTATATATGCGTGTACATCTGTGTGTGTGTAACAATTATCATATACCCAATATGTATCAATGTAATATTCTATATATGTATGTATGTCTGTAACTCTCAGCTCATTATTCATAATTGTGGCATAGTTTTGTGTACATCAAGAGTATGAAATACATTCATTTGAACATAATATACTTATCTACAGTAAACGTTGGTAAATTGCAATGTATTAGCAGCTGCAGCAGCATTAGAGTACCGACTTATGTGTGTGTACACTTGTTAACTATACGAAAAACACGTTCAATATAAGACATACACCCACGATGAGACACATATACTAACACCAACAGCAACACCCACACACGTATACACTGTAAATTTTTGGACGTTATTGTGTATGCAAACATTTATCGTGTTCATTGTTAGCTTAAGCCGCATTATTTTCCAAAAACCAAACACATTTTCAATATGTTAATATCTAACATTATTATATATATGTATGTATGTATGTATGTGCTAAGTAAATTATTGCATATAAAATAATACAAATATGCAATTCTTAAGTATTCTTAACATAAAAAACATACCTTAATACCGGATGATGGATGGATTATTTGCTCGATAGATAGATATGTATATATATACCTAAAAAAACCTTTTAAGAGAGGAAAAACAAGTGTAGTTGGTTTTTAAAGCATTTAAAAAAACTTAATTTCCATGAAAGCTATAATTGTTTTATGATAGATCAAAATGGAGCCCAAGGATCAAATATTGGATTTATTGTGATCTTAATAATTCCTAATATTATCTAATTAATAGTGGTATGTTGACGATTCAATGATAATATTTACTTATACATAACATTAACTTATACATAATTTAGTTATGTATAACCCCTATGAGTGAGCTTTAGCGATCTGATTGTTTATCCGGAGAGCGATGCCAATTATTTAAAATGCTTTCCTATCGAAGATGATTTTAATCTGCTCAAGGCTACTTCGGGACCGACTCGAAGGCACCAGAAGGTTTTGCTAGAATCATATATATATGCACAAGTATAAAGTGTATATAGTTTCATCATTTAAAATTGCATATTAATGAAATATTTTGAGCTCTTCTTTATTTTCATAAACGGATTTTTATCATATTAAAAAAGTATTTATATAATATCGGAGAAATCAATATATTCATACTTTATGAGAAAACTCAATTGCTAAAAAACACATTAATAATACATGTTATCTAAGAATTTATATGTAGTTACATAACTATTAATTGTAATTCTATTATATAAATTACATAATCTATATAATCAGATCGCGATATTTAGTAAATGAAAAGTAAATATTAGTAAAGAAAATATATTATATCATTGAAGCATTGCAAAGGGGAGAAAAATACAAGTAAGCACATTGCAGTCGGAGACTACCGACTGCATAATACTCATTCACGGTTGAATATTTTCGAAATGTAATCAAAAATCGATAATATAGTAATAAATTAACTATAACTATAATAATATTATAATAAAATAATAATATAATAATAATAATAATGTTAAGAAGGGCGACTAGCTTTGATGATCCAACCTCTCACCTCACAAATCTCCATAGATGTAAATTTTTCCGATCTTCCACGAGCCCAGTGACTGGATATATTTAACTTTTGGATAAATTCACTTATGGTTTCATACCATGTCTAAGGGGACATATGTTACATTATGTGTATGTTGTAAATGATATAGAATCATTCGATTTGCTATCCAGAAGTTTTATTCAGAATTTCTTAGTCCGTTTACATTGATATTAATATTCGGAATCTCGAGAGTTAATACTAATATTCGGTTTTCCGTTCCGTTAAACGAGTATTTAAATGAAGTAATAATATAATATGTAATATTAATTCTAATATTTGTACGAAATAATATTACTTAATCTTAGTACTTAAATTGAATCGTATTATTTATTGTCTGCTTTAAATGTTGTGGCCTACTTAAGCAAGTAAATGCTTTACCTTAGTTGCGATTAAATTGATGCATATAAAACAGATAAGTATTATATCAGATAAGCTTTCTTTCTTTTCTTGAAGATGTCACAAATGTATGCAGTTCTTACTTAAAACTGAATACATTTGATTGTAAAGAAATCTTCTTTAGCTGCATGTTAGTGTATAATAAATTGCATTTACTGCTGCGTCTCTCCTCCCCTCAGTTGCATGCTGCTAGAACTATTAATTTATATAAATAAGTGTACATATATTTTAACTAATAGCAAAAGCCATTTGAGTTTGGCTCTTTAGTTTGTACATTGCTTTGATCTTTAGTTTGAATTCAAAATATATTTATAAATACAATACACCCTGAACGAAGCAAGTTCTCTGTATACCTCTACTACTTTCCACCCATGCACCGAGCGTACGCTTTTTGAGTTGTGATTATTGTTGTTGTCACCTTTGAACTGGAAAACCAAAACCAATAAACAAAAACGAAATCCAGCAACTCACTTAACACAAAAACAAATTGAATAACTGCTTACTGTCGCCCTATCGCCAGTTGTTGCCAAATTGCCAAAGCTTACCAAAGTCAACAAATTACTTAATGTGTATGCAAGACAAACAGGCATAGTCCACTATATGTGCCCAGTATATCATATGCTATAGAAACTATAGACAACTGATAAAAGAAAACACCTCACTTGTGACACTTTAACTACCTCAACGTGTACTATACTTAGTTGTGCAGCCCATGTACGTGTTAACTGCTTACTAACAACTGTCGACAAATCTGCTAACGTGACACCCGAAGCGATCACCCAATCACTTAACAACAAACACCCAACTATACCCAACAACCACATACAATGAACTACCTACTTACAAGAGAAACAATAATAAACTAATTGAACTTTGAACAAAGTCTGGCTATGACAGAGACATAGACAAATGACTAATCTGAACATATGTCTTTGAGACTGGTCCCTGCACGATTTGCTAATTTATATTCTATATCCCCATAAAAGGTACACGAAGCCGACGCCTGCCTGGTGCTAGCTAACAAATATTGCCAAGATCCCGACGCAGAAGATGCTGCCAACATCATGAGAGTGATTTCAATCAAGAACTACAGCGATGATATAAGAGTCATCATACAGCTGATGCAGTACCACAATAAGGTAGGAAGTCTATCACAATCAACCCCAATCGTAAGCTCTATTGATTTCCCCAATGTCTTGCAGGCGTACTTGCTGAACATCCCGTCGTGGGACTGGAAACAAGGTGACGATGTTATTTGCCTGGCCGAGCTGAAGTTGGGCTTCATAGCGCAGAGCTGCTTGGCGCCCGGCTTCTCCACCATGATGGCCAATCTGTTTGCAATGCGATCCTTCAAGACGGTAAGTATAGTGCCAGAGTGCTGGAACACACGACGGCTACTCCAAACAAAATACCAGACACAAGCACACAACTGGGGTGTATTCAGATCCAGAGAGAGCAGGCAAGCAAATCAAGTGATGGTTTGCTAAATGCAGTCAAGTGGTGAAGAAGTGATGAGATGTGGTGATGGGGCTGTCTAACTGCAGTCGGCCGGCCAATCAAAATTGTGTAAAACATCAAATCTATATTATGTATGTACGTCTTTAACCCCATAGTCGCCAGAAATGCAATCTTGGACGAATGATTACCTGCGCGGCACTGGCATGGAAATGTACACTGAAACATTGAGTCCCACATTTATTGGAATACCGTTTGCTCAGGCCACTGAGTAAGTTGCGCAGCGGGCAGTCCAATTTCTATATGCTATAAAACCATATTCGTATCGTATCGTATCTATTATACTATCTACCTACTATTCAACTATGTACTTGTTAATCGTGCAGCGTTGACAAATATCGTACCAAAACAAAATACACTCAAACAACAACAAAAAAACACAAGAATTATTCAAAACAATATAAACACACACACACACACAAATACACACAGCTTTTATTATCTGTTGATCAGTTCTAATTGATGTTGTAAAATTTTTTACTTTGTCTGTTTTGATTTTCGAAGACTTTTAATATTATGTGGTCTTCAGAAATGTTTTCATTGATGCCAATGTCTGGAGAAGTACTATGTAAACATGTAAAATTGCCTGTCTATGGTGTTAAATATTGATTTATTTTCAAAGAAACACATTCACACAGTTACATACACACAGACACATAGCCACACATCGAAGTAAACTGTGAACAACTAGTCGGTGTTTTATGCTAATTCTTTGTGTACTTAATGTTTTCAATGTTGAACAGCCTTCAATGTTTGCAAAAATACAAATAACAACATCCTTGCTGAATATATTCTTTTCGTTATCAGATCTCTTTGCATTTTAGGGAGCTACAAATCAATGTTGAATGATAGCCACACATATACATACACACACACACACACCCACAAATACACACACATGCAAACACTATGAAATCGAGAGCATTGTAAAACGCTAATTGTATGGTATCTTTGTGTGCTGTGCTCTCTAGATGCCGAGCCCAACTATGCAGCGTGCAGCATTTGAGTTGATGTTCGATGCGTTTTTATGGTTTTTGTCTTTTGTTTGTCTTATGCTTATTTCATATGAATTTTCGTTTCATTTTGGTTACTCTGAACTTCCAAAAAATTGTTTAATGCTAAGCCTAGGAGCGCGTGTAAAGTTTTCTAATAAGCTGATATGAGAAGTAAGCCGAAGCTAACGCTTAAGCTAGATCAAAGCCTGATAAACAAATGCTACCCCAAGACACGCCCACACACCTCCCACCAAAACTTACAGACACACACACTGCTCTGATATAGTATAAGTGTGCCCGTGTATGTGAACTCAGTGCCAAATCCCAACCGAGTCGAACCCCGAGCCTGAACGAAACCAATGCGCATAATGAGCCAACTCTCACTCAAGCGAATAAAACTGCAGCAAGAATAAGAACCAGAACCAGAACCAGAACCAGAACCAAGAACAAGAACAAGAACAAGAACAAGAACATTTACAAGAAACAAACTATCGCCACGTAGTTACATTAGCGAACTTACTAAATCCAAACCACAACAAAACCATTTTCTAACTTTCAGTCACCAGACACACAGGCCTGGCAAAATGATTATCTTCAAGGTACAGGGTGTGAGATGTACACCGAAACTCTATCACCTTCATTTACCGGCATGACATTCCCACAAGCCAGCGAGTAAGACTCCAAAATGAGAAAAAATTAGCAAAACAAAATTTACAAAACAAAAACAAAAAATTACAAAAAAATAATAATGTTCTTAAAGAAAAAACTGTATAAAAAATACTTTTTCTTGTATACTATTTTGGATTAAGAATTTTATTTATATCATTTGTCAAACTTTGTTCGGAATTCTGTTTTGTTTGATTTATTCCTATTTCTACATACATACTTAATTGTAACAAACTACCTTTTGTCCCCTTTACTAAATACTACTTACTACTACTACTTACTCGTACCCCATTTATTTTAATTATCAAGTTCGATATACCAGTATGAATGGACTGCAATCAAGGGATTGACCTCCTTCTGCTTGTATATCTAACATTTTATATATGATTTGGTTTTTGGATTAACAATCGCATTGCATCCGTTCGCATATTATAGTAACCAGCCACAAAGTATGAGCAACAGTTTAGAACAAACCTATTTATCTAGACACCGCTCGCTTGTTACCAACTCCGCTCCGCTCCGTTCCGTACCGCTCCGCTCCGATTAGTCCCCAGATCAAGCCCCGATTACTGATGACATCGCATATACAACATACGACATACATATACATATGAATACATATGTACATATATATATATATATCGATTATCCTCAAATAAATTAGCTCCACGGCACCAGATCAACTATCAACCCATCCAAAGAATCTCCCCCTTTTGGCATGAACATATACGCTTTCTGTTCTGTGTCACCCTCAACCCGGCTCCATTCCACGCGCTGATTAGCCACAAAAAGCACAGCAAAAAGTGAACAGCATTGACTTAATATTAATATGAATTTCAACTATTTTTTATAAACTTTTTTTTTTCATTTGTTGAATTGTTGAATTTTCTACGCATTTTGCCTAGCATGTGGTTTCTTCGTATGAAGTGCAATTAGTTTTTTCTCCAGTGTACGCTTTGAACGCACATACACACCGATTGCATGCTCTGTTCAATAAGGTTTGCACACCATAGTGTAGTGATATTTACTAAGCTTAATTAAGTATACGTAAATGTTCAATCTATCGACACTTCCACTCGATACTGAACTAACAGAATTTTATGATTTCTTCCGCTGCTTGTAGACTGTGTTTCTCCAAGCTAAAGCTGCTGCTGCTCGCCATCGAGATCAAGGGCGCCGAGGAAGGTGCAGACAGCAAGATTTCCATAAATCCGCGGGGCGCCAAGATTCAGGCGAATACGCAGGGCTTTTTCATAGCACAAAGCGCCGATGAGGTCAAGCGGTAAGTCCTAAATTTCTGTCTCTTCCTCTTCTGTAGCCAGTTCATCTCTGTTTGTAGCGCGTGGTTCTACTGCAAGGCGTGCCACGAGGACATCAAGGACGAGACGCTCATTAAGAAGTGCAAATGCAAAAACTGTAAGCATACCTTTGTACCATTTCCCTTGACTCGATAAGACAGTCTCTCTGTCGCTGTACGTCTTTGGGTTTCATTTGTTTCAATTTACTTCTTGTATTTCGTTTTTTGGTTTTATATACATATTATATTTTGACCTAATTTCGTCGAGAGCTACGTGAACAGCTTAGATTAAAGTAAACTCTAAGTGAAGGCAAATTAAATAGCTCTAAGTTTTCTCCTTAGGTTCAGGCTACCCTTATACTAGTTAAGCAGCGCGAATCAAGTTCACACTCTCTATACTTATATATTATATATGATGAACCCTAATAATCGACCCTACAGCATGTACCGGTATATATATGTATAACTATCTAATTTATTATGAACAACTCTTAAGCCACAATTCTATATGCCAGATATTGTGGGTCCCTCAAACCACATCAACAACAACGACATAGATACGAACCCTAGCTAACAAAATCAAGTCGACTTCACATGCGCATATACCTACATACGTATCCCTTTCTCTCTATGTATGTGTGTATGTACGTATATATGCATGTGTGCGTGTGTGTGTATATATGTCAGATATATATATGCACAGACGAAGATCAGATACCGAATGAAATGCAATACATAATAATACAAATAACTGTCATAACTTTGTCCCACAGTGACTGTTCAGCCGAGGAGCAAATTTGACGACTTAGGTAAATCTAAATTGTTCAACACGTTAATGTTAATCCCAAACAATCAAATCAATCCACACCAACACAAACACAGACACACAACAGTAACATAATTCTATGATGTAAAAGCAAATGACCAATGCCACCACCCAACCACCAAATTTTACCCCTAAATCAATCCAACTTTCTTTCAACTATGCAAATTACGAATTTCCTTTTGTTTGTATGTACTTTAAATACAACAACAACAACCGATATTAATCAGTTATCAAATATAACAAAATCAATTCCTCTTTTTGACATACATTTTTTCCAAGCCTCTTTTTCGATTCCTTAATTATTCTTAATACATCTCTAGTGCACCACCTCACTCCCACCTGTTCAGGTACACACTCTTTTGCAGTTTCCTTTTTTTTTTTTTTGTATTCTTTCCAACATACTTTTCTCAATCAGTTGATTTTTCATTATGGATAGTAAACAATGCAAAAATTAGTTTCCGCACGTTAAGAGTGTGCAGCCATGACTTGTCCCTCTCCAAGAAACTCACCCGCAAATATAAATTAACATACATCTAATGAACAATAAGAACAATGAGAAGTCCCGTCCCGTCCCGTACCTTTGGATATGTGCAGTTAATTTTTGGTCACTTTGTTTTCTTTAATTACAATTAAAACTGATATGCGCCTCTTCTCGTATATAATCCAACACACGACTGCATTGGATACACACACATACATATATACTATATGCCATTTACAACTATACCCGCAACACACCCAAGTATATACATACATACGTTTACTGATGGCTTCCCCTCAGCTGTAAATATGTTTGTGCAATATGCAACCCATGTTTTTGGATTTAACTATTACCAACATGTACTCTGCCACCGAACTGCAATCATTTCAAACTTATTTTGATTAGTAAATTCCAGATATTTGTTTTTGAGTTTGTGGTCCGCTTTGGAGCTCGCCGCCCAGTTCTCAGCCGGCATAAATTGCTTAACAAATAATAATAATAAATATAATATTCTTTTCTGCATGGAAAGCATAATCAATTTCAATTTTCTTTTTAACATATGTTGAGAGAAAAACTCGAATTGCTTTTAGTAAAAGTAAAGATCCAACTTGATGGCAAGAGTTTCTCTAAGTATTTCCTTATATTTGATACCTACATATATTCAAAGTGCACAATTAATATTTTAACTTTCTCGCCCTTATCCCTGGCTGTGTCTCTCTCTTACTCTCTCTCCTCTCTCTCTCTCTCTCTTTAAGTCAATTTTTGCTCTCCTCATTTTGATTTTTTTCGTACCTTTTATATGTGTTTGATGAAACGAAATCAAATTTATATAAACAAAACAAAAAAGTGCATGTAACCGAGCACAAATACTAATAAAAAATTTATATATTACACTGTCACCGATTCAAGATCCTTGAAACTCTACTTTTAAATAAATATTTTTGACTCACCTTTGCAGCTGTGATTTACAATTGCGTTACTAACGACATAAACCTAATTTCGAATAAACTACTTTATATATAAATACAGTCCTTTTACTATGTAGTAGCAATAAGTTATTCAGAGGCTGCCACCACTCGAAGTCTATAAATCTTTATGTTTAAGTTTTAAGTTCCTTATCTACTTGGCGTGGCACTAACCTCCCCCACTTCGAAATCTATATAAATTATATAATTGTAAATAAATACTTGAGCGTAGATATCCTTTCCAATTAACAACAGTGTAAATAATTAATGCCTCGATACGAGAACAACAACAACAACAACATTAGCATATATATTAAGCGCGCGCTCCATCATCTAACATGACGTCACGTGACTAACATTAAAGTTAATATATTTGGTTTCTATGTAGCATACTAAATAAACATCTCTATCTCCCTCTCTCTCTCTCTCTATCTGTCTCTTATATATATATATTTACTATATATATATGAGCAAATGCGTATTATCTATCTATAAACTAGCATAAATGTTCTCAAGTAGTTAGTAAGTTTTCCAGTTAATGCGTTGCCTGCGTCTGGCTTAAAAACATAGTTAATCGCACCTAACTGGGATAAGAGATGCTCCATATACTCGTATACCATGTTTACTGATTAATATGCCTAGTGTTAAGTCTAGTTAGATTCGTGTGTGTATGTGATATGTGGCCCTCTTACATATACGAATATCAATACCCTAACCGTCTTCCAGATGTGGGCATGATTATGATGCAGACAGGGATGGTCAACCAAGGGATCACATCAGTGATGAATACAATGGAGGGTAAATTGTAAAATAAAATCCAAAATCCAAACTAAAAGAAAAAACAAAAATAAATTAAGTCCCAATAATAGTTTCAAGTTTTGGTGCCTATATTTGTATATCATACAAAGCCAAAATGATTTATTTGTTGCTGCTAAAGTATTGAACCGCCTACCTAACCGTATTTAGCAAAGCACTCTTCAAAATATATATAGAAATACATATATTTTTTCGGCTACTCAAAATACTTCAAAAACTTTGATTTTGAAGAGTGCATTTGACATTCGGTCAATCGAATTTATTTGACTGTGAAGTAAAAATTGAACCAATTATCAAACTTAAATGAAAAACTTAAAAAGAAAAACATTTGGTAAATAAAAATGCTTGCAGATTAATAAAAACAAAAACGTTTAAAAATTCCAGTATTAATCAGCATTATAAAATAAATCCCTTATTTTTGACTAGTACTATACGTAAATGCTATATCATTGTACTTGTGCTAAAGTCCCAGCTGCTAAATGCGAAATCCCGCATCTATATCTCCTCGCCTTGCTTAACTCGAAGGGAATCTAGTGTAAGTGAGATGGATAGCCGAGATCGTCTAACTAGCTGGGAGTTGTCTTAGGAGGGGTCTATCGGATAAGAATAAGAATGTCTACAGAGAGTCTGAAGAGTGCTAAATTACCACATTTTGTTGTTCTTTCTGTCGCTCTATTGTTTCGCTCTATCGTATATATACTCAGTATAAATATACCATTCAACATAGAGTTAATTAGTTTGCAACGATTTCTGGTTTGATTCTAAAACGTCGTGCGCATAATTCATATCAACAAATTCATCAAAATAGCTGATATCTCTACATACCTTACCATCATGAATTACATACCATATATTTAATGAACGTTCAACGAAGACGTGTGAAGTGTGACATGTTTATATATATATATATAAATATATTGAATCTCTAATTTTATATATATTTTTTTTCGTTTGATTTATTGATTTATTCCGTTGATATTTATAAAAAAGTATATTATTTGATGATTTCGAAATGAATAAGCAAACGAACTATCATTACCTTACCATCATTTACCTATTCACACATATCCTATACAATTCTGTTTTCATGAAACGAAACAGTGGCCACCTTCCGGAAAGGCGTCCGAGCCGTACAAATGGTTGGGCGTGCAAGTACGTATAACTTTCTCCCTATGCTCTCTCTCTCTCTCTCTGTCTCTCTATCTCTATCTCTATTACTTTATACTATCTCTATATACATACATATAACTTCTCCATGCCTCTACTCTACAGTAACTCAAATAAGCATACGAAACAAATTAATGAAAAAGAACATTACGACTCCACATAATATGCCACTCAACAAATACTCTTACATTCAACTACTACAACTAACCAAGTGAAAGAGTTCTCTCTCTTTTCGAAAACGCTCACCAAACTTACATCCGATTGCTATGCGCAAAAGTTCAGACAGTCCTCGAGTCTAGTCTAGCTCCCAATGTCAATCACTCAATACATGTCTACCAGCTGAATAAAGCGCACTCACACACATAAACAACAGACACATACACACATATACACACCTACACACACACACTTCTAATCGTTTCTTCTCGTTCGTTCTCGTAATTGTGTATTTATCAATTATTAACTTAACTACTTAGTGTGTGTGTGAGTGTGTAGTTAAGTCGCTAGTACTAAAAAAAAAAAAAAAAAAAAAAAAATATAAATGATTCAAAATTTCAATACTTAAATGAGTATAATTCATAAATTGTTATCGTAAATTTACTCTTCGTATGTATTCCATACTACAATCTTGTAAACATTAAACATTTATTTCTAACTATCGTATTTTGTACAAACTCTCTGTATCGATCTATACATCACTTCATACATCAGATATATCATATATGTGTTATATATGTATATTTATATATGTATATTTTTGTTTTCGTTTCACTATTTATTGAAATCGGAGTCGGGCATACAATCCATCATACTATCATCCAATATTTATGTACACATACAAAACATCTAAAGAAATACATAAATTTCTGATTCTGGGGTTTGCTCTTTTTTATGTAAACATATATAATACTTCTATATATTCCCCTACTCGTATCTCTACTCGTTCGTACCAACTACTTCTACTACTACTACTACTACAATACTCGTACTATGTATTTATATGTCTGTGTGTGTGTGTAGAAGACGATGAATACTCGTTGTCAAGTAAGTCTAACTAATTCAAGTTTTCAACTCATATATTCGAAAATAAGTTTAAAGCCACATTTGAATTCGTCATAAACATTTATTAGGATTCACATTTTAGAGTTTTATGAATATATATATTAATTTCTTTTCGGTTATTCTTTAGTGTGCCAGTGCACGTTTCTTGAGTTTTGATTTGGATTCTTTCTTTCGTCGAAACATGTTTGTGTTGTAACTAGTTCTCTTCTGTTTAAGAAATTTCGAAATTTCATATAAATTGTAAACCTATTCAAGTTACATATATGTTAAGCAACATAGTTACTCCCGATTACATTTAAAGAGAAAGCGTAGCAAGCATCCGTAGAGCAATACCAAACACCGTTGAGCATTACCGTCAGCTGCCCCGCCAACCGCCGCCCGTGCACACAGTACACTCAATCAGTTAAGGAGCGAGCTTGCTAAATACTCTCACACTCTCACACTTGCCAAGTGCCATAGAGAATGTGTTAAACGATATCTTAGTGCTGTGTTCTTAGTGCAGACTCCTAGGTAGCAAAGTCTTGAAACTGTTCTTTGAGTGGGTGTTAGACTTCTAGTGCATAACAGTCGAACTAAAAGCTTTGCCACATCCAGCCTTTGGAGCAGCAATATAAGGTTTATGCTTTCATTATAGCCAAAGCAAACACTTGACATCCTAACCAACTTGTAACTTAACTGCAACGCCTGCTTTTCTTGCTTTCTGCTTATTGTAGTGTCGTGCACTTGTCTATCGATTGACTATTGATTGCCTCCAGTTTCGCAATTCCGTATTTATTCGCATGTTTTATTAAGGTCTTGATTATATATATGCACTTTTTTTTTATAAAAAATAATACAATTATGTAGTTTAGTACCAGTTCCCAAGAAAAAAGCCAAATAAATATAAAGAAAATTGCCTGAATTCATTCCCCTGATCATGTTGATCAATTTTCCTTACTTTTCATTTATGGCTTTCGGTTGAACACACACCCAATGTCGAGCCCATTTGATTTGCGTATGATTTGTGAAAAGATATTGTGATCTTGCTTTATGTACAACCGCAACTCTTTCAGTTTTAGTTTCACACAAACACTATATTCCCCCCAAAAGTCTAATTTGATGTCCTACAACAGCAAAAAAACAAAAAAATTACAATTTTTGAGCTTCACATAAAAAAGCATTGTCTTTTACACGAAAAAAAAAAAATTAAAATAAAAACAAAACAAATATAAAAACCAATTTGATTACCTGAAGCTGTGCGATAACAATACCAAAAATATCTTACAGATGAACACCATCCTGCACCCACATTTACGCCACCAGAGCTACCCAAGCGGGTGCATGTGCGTGGATCTGTATCGGGTAATGTCCTCAATATCAGCTTGTTTAAGAACTCCAATCTCATGATATACGTACTTAAGTCTGTCCACTCTGTACACGAAAGAGAAAGGTTATTTTGATCACAGAACGTCCTACAGTTTACTTTGTACACACACACACATGTATATCTCATTTAAGTATACATTTATATTTTTATGTGTCTGTCCTAAGTTGCCTTATCATTGCCTTATCATTTGTGCTCTACTACAAAAATATGTCCACGAAAATCTAACTAAAATATAAATAAGAAACTGCAAACAATTAAAGAAAGTAAAACAATTCAATAATTAGCTATTTGTTTATGTTTTGGTTTCTGTTTTGGGTTCTTAAATATTTTCAGTTAGCATTCCGATGTTTTTGCGTTGATTTTAAACAGAAATTGTTATTGCTAATGTAAAAACGAAAAAATAAAAACAAAATAATTAAATTAAATAATAAATAATGTTCATTCAATTAATGTAAATGTTTATATACAGCAACTACTACAAGAAACCAACTGCCAACTCTATTGTACCAAAAGCTTGTTCTTACAAATTATTTAAACTCGATATTGATGTCTACTTATTTAAAGCATTTCACTATATATTTTTGTAAACATTTGTGCGTGTGTGTGTGTGTCTGTTGTGTTTGGTTTTGCATACATACTATTCGCTTGTTAAATACACTGTTTATTTCTTGACTCCACTCACACGCATCACAGCTACAATATATGCGACCCACTAGTCGAGTATCGCAACAACAACTTCAAGCATAAGTAACTCGCTTACTTACCTCCGTACACGCGGCTCAAAGTACCTTTCTTGATTAACTTGGCCAAAATGCATCATAAATGACTCAATCCCAATTTCCTATGCACTCTGCCAGCTGTACCAGAGCATTTAATCATACTAAATTGCCGTTTTCTCTCTCTTTTTTCACACAAACTGTCACCCACCCTCTGTCTCTCTCTCTCTCTGTTCGCTCTCGCTCTCGCTGTCTGTCTCGCTCGCCAACCAAAAACCTAACAACTGCAACTGCGACAGGTGATATAACACGTGACAGAGAAGATACGAATCGTAAGTGTCAAATTGTATTTAGCTCGACTCTATCCACTCCAAGCGAAGCCCGATGGTCAATGCACTCAGCTATAACTTAATCTGTTTCTTCTGCCATCTCTCTCTCTCTCTTTCTGTCTCTGTCGCTCTCCTTGCAGTACTCAATCGGAACGTGCGACGCCCGAACGGAACTGGCAACGGCACAGGTGGCATGCATCACATGAACAATACGGCCGCTGCAGCAGCGGCCGCCGCAGCGGCGGGCAAGCAGGTGAACAAGGTAAAGCCTACGGTGAACGTGAGCCGGCAGGTGGAGGGCCAGGTTATATCGCCGTCGCAGTACAACAGGTGAGTGGCCGGAATTGAGGCAGCCCTTAGCATAATCCGAGCACATATATACAGACACAGTGCATAATATATATATATGTATATACATACGTATATATATACTTGTGTACTCCATTGGGCGGGACAGCACGGAACCAACTACACTTCAACAACACACACTGCGAGGGGGGCACTCGGCTTCAGTTACAAAGTATTTATTATACAAATGTTCTATATGCAAAGCAAATCGGTTATCGAGCAGACACTTATGGCCTTCGCTGTTCAGCTGCATTCTATGCGTTATGATTTCTTGCGTTTCCTTCTCTTCTTTTGCAACAACTACAATAAGAAATAAGAAAACAGACAACAAGAACAACAACAGCAGCAACAAGGAAACAGAAACAAAACATTAAACATACGTCTTCAGTTTGATCACCTTATCATTATTTCTTTTACTCTAATACACCTAACAAAATAAGTTCGATGGCCCTTCGACGGCTCGTACATATGTAAATGCTCTTTAAATACTCTCTCTCTCTCTTTCTCTATACATATATATATATATATATAAATATATACATAGACTAATTCTAACACCTTAACAAATTGTTTCACTAACAAAACACCTTTACAACAACTATTAAACAAAAATGAACAAAAAAGACAAAAAAAAAAAAAAAAAAAAAAAAAACAACAATTTTATATGTATAAAAAACAAACAACATTTTGTTTCAGGCCACCAGAAAATGATGCTAACCCTTATGCGGGCTATCAACTTGCTTACGAAGTTAAAAAGCTCATGTATGCGTCCATAATTTCCTAGAAATTTTTACTTAACTCAAATTATAAGAAGCCAAAAGCGTTTTTAACTACTACTACTACTACTACTATAACTTAGTATTCGTAAATACTTATTCAAACTATGCGCATTTTGTTAAACACACATTAATTGATTGATTGATTGAAAGCTATTCCATACATCAATACCAAATACAATTCGTTAACCATACGTATGCGTAATTTTTTAATCACATTGCTCTCTGTGTGCGTTGATTTGTTAATATATGTATGTATTTATGTGTGTCTCTGTCTCTCTCTCTCTCTCTCTCTCTCTGTGTGTGTGATTCATACAACATAGTAATACTCTATATGTAAATTCATCCATCTTGTTTCGCCTATTCAAAACTCTCATTCTCTTTGAGAGCTTGATTTTCATTTCATAAATAATAATACTCATGATTAACTTTTGTGTCGTAATTGTAAATTGTTAATAACTTTGCTGCATTTGAATCGCTTATATATCATTGCATATGTGTGTTTGTGTCTGTGTGTGTGTTTATGTCGTGTACATCAAGTTCCATGCATTATTTCATCATAACTAAAGCAAACTGAATACTGATTGACTCTGTTTTCTAATTCAATCGCCATGAGTCAAAGATCCAGTTCAAGCTAAATTTATTCCAGTGCTATCTATATTCATGTAAATATATAGATACATATGTAAATATTGTTTTTTAAAACAATCTTTTCAAGTTTTCTTTTTTTTTTTATAAAGTCCTAAATACTTAAAGGGCATCATATGCATCTACAATTCCAAAGTAATACAATGATGCGATATACCCATTGACTAGTGTAGATCCAAACTCTTTTGGCATCTCTTTCTCTCTTTCTCTCTGTACTTCTCTCTTTCTCGCCCTCTCTTTGTCTATCTTCTACATACTTTTATGCATTCACTTCTTCAGCACTTTTAATTTTTTCAATCCGACTGCGAACTGTGCACTAATTTCTAGTGTTGTGAAGTGCACCACGGCAAGGGCCGCAGCTGTTGCATGTGGCGTGTCCCTCGTGCATGCCCCACACACACACTTGCCACTCGCTATTATCTGCGCAATTCGCCCGAGGGCGGTCGCATTCAATTCAAATCGATTCAATTCAAATCGATTCCATTCGATTCGATTCGATAAGTCTGCCGCCATCGCCGGGCAATTGCGGAAGCGTTTTGCGTAGTTTAACATTGATTTGTATTTTTTTCTGAATTCATATTTTAAAATACGTATATTGGTTTGTCATTTGTGTTTTGATATTCGTAATTTCGCAACTATTGTTACTAGCACAACCTCTCTTCTCTCTATCAGCATACATACAAGAATATATGCATATATTTTAATATATCTAGCTATCTATCGTTTCAAAGACACTTTTCTTTCAATTTGAATTCAATTAAAAAGCTCCAACTACTCAAGTATTCAAGTATTTTCATAAATTATTTTGATTATTAGTTTTTTTGAACGAAAATCGTACTCGTAGCGTTACGAACAACACTTTGCATTTGGATGTAGCGTTTATTTTGATTGATTGATAATCTGATATGCCATGAAATTGATAAGAAAAATTCCCAAAAATACCACAAAAAAAAAAACTTTATTTAGTAACCTGGCCCACTTGGTTAATACTCTTTACTGATCTGCTTGCCTCTAGGCCAACGAGTCGCAGCTCCGGCACCGGCACACAAAATCAAAACGGCGGCGTCTCCTTGCCCGCTGGCATTGCGGACGATCAGTCCAAGGACTTTGATTTTGAAAAGACCGAAATGAAGTATGACTCCACGGGCATGTTCCATTGGAGTCCGGCGAAGAGCTTAGAAGACTGCATACTGGTAAATGGCTTGGGCCTGGGGGAAGCCGAATTCACTTATGAACTATGATTTCACTATCCCAATTTCATCTCTGCAGGATCGCAATCAGGCGGCCATGACGGTCCTAAATGGCCACGTGGTCGTTTGCCTATTCGCCGATCCGGACTCACCGCTGATTGGGCTAAGGAATCTGGTAATGCCGTTGCGTGCATCCAATTTCCATTACCACGAGCTGAAGCACGTGGTGATCGTGGGCTCCGTTGACTACATACGGCGCGAGTGGAAAATGCTACAGAATCTGCCCAAGATTTCGGTGCTTAACGGATCGCCGCTGAGTCGTGCCGATCTGCGGGCGGTCAACGTCAACCTGTGTGATATGTGCTGCATATTGTCTGCAAAAGTTCCTAGTAACGACGATCCAACACTGGCCGACAAGGAGGCCATCCTGGCCTCGCTCAACATCAAGGCCATGACCTTTGACGACACGATTGGCGTGCTGAGCCAGCGCGGGCCGGAGTTCGACAATCTGAGCGCGACCGCTGGCAGCCCGATTGTGCTGCAGCGTCGCGGCTCAGTCTATGGCGCCAACGTGCCCATGATAACAGGTAAACTGCATCGCACTAGGTTGGCCGAGTTTACGAACGAGCGAACGAAAACCGTCCTGCCTCAAGCGGTGTATGCGAGGCTGACCATCATTATTTGGGTTAGCTGGGAGATGGGGGTAGAGACGGGGCGATGGTCAGCCGCCATACACTGGCGAGCTAATTTGAGAGAGGCACCTAACTAATGGACACAATGTTTTATTGTTGGTTGTCGTTTAAAGAACTGGTCAATGATAGTAACGTGCAGTTTCTCGATCAAGACGACGACGATGATCCAGATACAGAACTATATCTAACGCAGCCGTTCGCCTGCGGCACGGCGTTCGCTGTGAGTGTGTTAGACTCGCTGATGTCCACGGTAAAGTCAAGTAACACAGACACACCCCAAATGAGCAGCGACCCCTGAACACCATGCTTTCTTCTCTTCTCTTCCCTCTCTCTCTCTCTCTCTCTATCTCTCTGTCTTCGGCTCTTTTATCCTGCATCGCAGACATACTTTAATCAAAATGCCTTAACACTGATCCGATCGCTGATCACGGGCGGCGCCACACCCGAACTGGAGTTGATTCTGGCGGAGGGTGCCGGCTTGCGGGGCGGTTACAGTACCATCGACAGTCTAAGCAACCGCGACAGGTGAGTCTGTCTGCATAGACGAAATCATATTTAGCCAACTAAATTCCCTTGGCTCAAACACAGATGTCGCGTGGGACAAATTTCGCTGTACGATGGGCCGTTGGCGCAGTTCGGCGAGTGCGGAAAGTATGGGGACTTGTTCGTTGCCGCCCTCAAATCGTATGGGATGCTCTGCATAGGACTCTACCGGTTCAGGGACACTAGTTCTAGCTGTGATGCGAGCAGCAAGCGTTATGTAATAACCAACCCACCCGATGACTTCTCATTACTGCCAACAGATCAGGTGAGCTCAGTTGCCTTTCATGTAAAAGAATATATTTGAATACTTTGTTCATATAGGTATTCGTTTTAATGCAATTCGATCCGGGTTTGGAGTACAAGCCGCCCGCAGTGCGTGCGCCCGCTGGCGGTCGCGGCACCAACACACAAGGTTCCGGGGTCGGTGGGGGCGGCTCCAACAAGGATGATAACTCTTGATTGTTACTGTGTAGCGCCTTAACTGATGGTCCTTATTCGTACATTTGAACGTTGGAGAAGTTAATTGTGAGCAGAGCAACGCATTTATGGCAAAAGTATTGGCACAACATTTGGCTCAAAGCGCGCCGCGCTCAGCGCATTCAGGTTTAGCGTTATAGGCAATAGGTATAATCTGTATAAGCTGTAAGAACACAACAAACAAACATACACATACACACACTAACACACACTTACACCTGTGTATATTCTGTGTACCTATGAGAATTGTAACTAAATCAAAAGCTAACCCAATGGGCGTAAGTTAGGTAAAAATTTTAAATGCGTGCCATAAATGCGTTACTCTGTGCTTTTATATTTGCGGAGACACCGTAACAACAGAGTGCTTCGTCCATCCTGCTAAACGATCAAGGATAACGACATTGTCGCCACCAACAGAGTCTCTGCAAACATAAAAGCCACAAATGTATTAAAGAAAGAACAACATCTTTGATATCCATCGTTCAATTGTCAGCTGATTGCTTCCCACACCATTCCGTATGCCTTTTAGAACCTTGAAATTGACATTTTATCTATAATTTTTTTATCTCTATCTATGTATCTATATATGTATCCCAAACTATCCCCATTTATTGTATCTTATAATTATTCTTTCTTTTCGATTATTGTTAGTTCGTTTTGGTTTCAGTTTCATTTCTCTATATTATTATTTGTAATCTTTCTCAATATGTTTTCAATAAATTGTCTCTGTATACAATCTTGAGTTTGAAGCAACAATCATAAGTTATTCTTAAACAATGGGTATGTACTAGTCATAGACATTATCATTGTGCCAATTAATTTCATTAGCCATTAATTTAACATTGTTATCATTAATTTATATCTTTAATTCACATCTTGAGTTCAGTTCATGGCGCTATCATCGCAATACAAATCAAATTATGCAATTCGATATGAAAATTCATCTCAATGGTGTGACGTAAGCAATTGGGAACCATTAGTGAGGTAAGCTACACATTAAACAAAGAAAACCAAGCAAAATATCAACTTAACAACTCTTTACTCTCAACATGGGAGAGAATATGTATGCAAAGTGCATCTCTTCTCAATCTGAGTACACCTGCGTGTGTTAATTTTGCATTCAGCTAAAGCTTAGAGATAACAAATACTTACACACTATAGCTTAGTATAAGCAGGTCTAGGCAAAGCTACAAATATGTGTCTAGGCAGCAACAAGAACTACGCTACAATCGGCATATGTATATCGATGCTAGACATGCACATACCAAAGAAAATGAAAATGAATATGAAAATAAAAAGAAAAACAAAACGGAAAACTATGTATCTGAAAAATTGATAAAGATATTCGAGAAATCGCTTGACCGCTGAATGGAAATCCAAAAGTTGAGTCATTCAAGTTCAAAAACTGCATTTAGATGTTTCTGAGCATGCGCAAAAAAATATATATAAATAAAACTAAATAAATAAATAAAATTTATACGAACGTATTATTACTAATTTACCTATAATGTTCGCAAAAAAAAAAAAAAAAAAAAAAAAACAAGAAATTCCTTGCGATATTTAATTGAAATTGAAACAATTAAACCTTATAAACCACAATCACATGCATACATATTGAGTATCTAGGGAAGAAGAGGAAGAAATAGTATGGATAGACGAATATTCCAAGTTTTTTATATAACAAAGCATAGTCAACAAAACAAACAATGGTTGTTTCAGCAAAAATGATACTAATTGCATACTTAAAGTCAAGTCAAGTGAAGTCAAATCGTCATTAGAGTCAAGAAAGAGTCGAAGGCATGCCCAAGCCCATGCCACTAGCTATTTCAGTTTCTTCAGATTTCAGCATATATGTACATATACACTTTATGTGTGTACAACTTTTTTAATAAGAAATATTTCCTAATCTCTAATCAAGGCCATTCCACGTAAACTTCTCTGTAATACATAAATCCGAATACTTAAACATACACACATCCATATATATATATATATATATATATATATATATATATACACACATATATATACCTAAATATATATATATTTAAACTAAGTAGCGCATTTCAAATCATAACTAAGCAGTAGCAACACATACATACATACATACATTCAAACATATGAATGTAGCTGAAGATAGTATAGTACATGCGAGCATTGATAGATAGATAGATCTATAACTATCTAAACACATTTAGCGAGCAGTTGACAAAAAAGAAAAAAAAAAACAAAACGTAGTTAGTAATATTTTTATTGTATGTATGATGTGTGCGGCGCTTTTTACATGCGTGCCTATTGAGCAGCAGCTGTGGTGTTCTAAACAAAATTTTTTTAGATAAATAAAACGAATGTTGACCGAAAGATGAACTTTTAGTCCTCGCTTTCCCCTTCACTTTCTCAACTTGTCTCAAGCTCTTCTTCTTTGGAATTGTTCACGCGCTTGCGCTTAAGCCGCTAATAAAACGCTCTGTGTGTGTTTCTTTTTCGTCTCATTTCTTTTGTAAATATTTGTAAATAGTTGACTAAATATGTAACTCGGATAATGTGTATAAAGATAGTTAAGCCATTTCATTTCGAAGCATTTGCATTGCATTAATGTTCAGAATAGTTTTCGGTACATGGATTTGTTCAAATATTAAACACTGCCAAAGCGTATAGAAATCACATTAAATGTACTTTAACTGAAAACACAAAATGCAGATAATTCAGTTCAGTTCTCATTCGAAATCGAAATACGAATATTCATATATGATTTTCAATAACATGTTGTGACATCAATTTAGCTTATTGAAATGTAAAAGTTAATCGAATTCGAGCTTTTAATAATATGTAACAAAAAAAAAAAAAAAAACAAACAAAAAGGTAAAAAGGTAAAAATAAAAATTAACATTAAGATTGATTTTCGGTTAGTTGCGTTTGTTTTGATAATATACACAGTAGCCTTAGGCTTAGACAACAAATGAAACGAAAAATTGAACATTGTGAATATTAAGTATGCGCCTTCAAAGTAACATGTAACATATATACAGCATGTACGTATGTATGTATGTAGTGTGAAACAAAAAAAAAAAAAAAAAAAAAAAATCCAAAAAGAAAAAATTATATTATATAATACGGCAGCAAGTTCATTTATTGCTAGGGCTATTAAAAAGTAAAGTTAATATAGATGAGAAGAAAAAAGCATTTGCAATCCTTATAACAGGCATAGAGTAAACCCAAAAGTTAAACATAATTTTTAATGAATAACATAGTTTATACAATTTTTAGAATTATAAATACTCACACACACCCACATAGACACACATAGACACACACGTACACACAGACAACCACACGCACATATAGATGCATCACATCAGCGAAAAACCCATTGACAAGAACAACAAAACGAACTCTCGATGTTGTGAGACTTGATTAAATCATGTTTACGCTAAATGAAATTATAAAAAAATAAAATAAAATACACGAAATTAAAAAAAAAAAAAAATCAAATAATATACAGAATGCAAAACGAGAACTATCCACAAATAGCTTATAAAATATAAATCGAAAAAGCTCTTGAAAATCTGAACAAAGCTGCGTTCGGCATTTCTTATATACGAATTGCCTGATTTCATATACATAAGTTCATGTCATTCTATTCATTAATCAATTTCATATTTGCTAAGATCGAAAGCGCCAACGTTTCAGCTTTGTTCCAAAAAAAAAAAAAAAATAAAATAAAATAAAATAAAATAAATAGAATTTAATGATAATATTGTATATCGCCTAGAAATACTCAATGCCATAAAACTAGACACAAATGCAACGTTTTGTAGACAAATTTCGTGAGTAAAATGTAAAAAACATACGTATATATGTATATATACCCATATATATGTATATATATGATATTCGTAAATGTAAAGCATTTTACAGTAGTTAGATACTTTGTATAGGAAACAACGTTTGCAGCTAAAAAAAAAAATAATTAAAAAAATAAAAGCAAAACACAAATGATAATTTTAGATGTTTGGGCGACAAACAAATGTTATTTTGTAATTATTGCATACTTTAAAAACAAAAAGAAAGCGTTATTAAATTTATAAATGCCGAAATTGAAAACAAAATTATTGTATAATTTCGTAGCACTTTCACAACTACCATATTTATTTATATATATGTATGTATAGAAGTATATGAATATTTATATTTATATATAAATATATATATATATAGTCATATATTGCACATGCATACAAATTATTTTAGTACTATGTGCATTAAAAATGTATAAATAATTAAAAACAAAAACAAAATAAAAACTAACATTAAAAATAACATCAAATAGTCAACATAACTGTAATTAAGCTTTTTAGTTTTTACCCGCGATTTATAAAATATATTTACAAGTAAAATTCTAAAAATTTGTCATAAGATTAAATATAAAAAAATAAATAAAATGCTGATAAATAAATTTATTTACATAAAATAAATAGATCAAGATCGAGATCAGCGACCGCTTGACAAAAAAAAAAAAAAAAAAACACAATGTTTTTGTTTAACAAAAAAACACAAATTTTTGAAAAAAAAAAACGAAATTTTAAATAATAATAATAATATAAAATAACAAAAAACAGTAAAAAAAAACCTTAAAATTCGCATTTTAAACAATTGTCTATGAAAAATAATATAAAATAATTAATACAATGCAAGTAAAGAGTAACAGATAACTGTAATTAAATAAACGCTATAATAATAATATTATGTTGTTAATGTTTAAAAAAAAAAAAAAAACCTTGTTAAAATAATATTTCAAAATAAAAAAAAAATAAATAAAAAATACGAATACAAAATTTCAATCAACGGGCAGCGCCCAGACTTTTCCTTGTTAAAAGTGAAATCTTGAGCTAGGGCATGGCCAACGGCCCCAACTGCCCAAAAATTGACCCACATTTGGCGGCCCGGGCCGACAGAAATTCCATCGCCCAATTGCGTTTAGAAATTTGAGTTGCGCCTCGCATAAAACACACTCAATTACCAAGTCCAATTGAACGCAAGCGTTTCATAAGCTTTTTTTATAACGCCCTGCCCTATACATTAGTATTGTATAATCAGAGATCTATAGCTGATTTACATACTGTATATGTACTATATGTAGTTAACTAATGAAGTCGCACACACATCAATACAAATGGCCATTAAACAACTACAAACTAGCAAATGTGGTAAGTATTTAGCATGTTCCACATATATTGAATATATTCATTTATAAAGTTACAAGCTTAAATCATAAAATAATGAAACATATTTTTAATATCAATGAGGGGACTTTGTTAGATAGAAAGTCTTATGGCATTCATATTTTTTACATTCCATTATTGATTGTTTTTGAAGACTAATGGATCAATGACTCTGCTCCTATAAATCCATATAAATAATTATTATCATTAATTTATTAATTATTTATTTTTGTATCCATACTATGTACCATATAAAACAATACTCAGGTGCAACTCTCAACTGTTAAATGTGCTTTTAAATATAAAACACTTCATATACATACATTCATTTATTCTTACAGCTTATATATAATAATAGATCTTTTCAATAGTAATAAATAAAATATCTATGTTTATTTTATGAGTCAGTCATGGCTTTAGCACTATTTTATAAATATATTTTGAATTCTGTTTAACTATTTTCAATAAGTTAAAAGCTAAATATGATTTATTTTATTTACTTTCAATAAGCTCAAAGCAAAAATGATTTTTATTTTGAGTAAGAAGAAAGCCAGTTAACTGACTGAATTGGGGATTATGGGCGCTTAATTGGTTGCACACAAATCTTTATGCTCTAATAAGTGCTATTAATATTGTCAGCTAATAAGATCACAGTCAGTTGATTATTAACTATACTACAATATATGTATACAATAAAAGTAGACTAACACGCTTGCCAGAACCAGTGCGCGTACCACTGCCAAGCGCCAAGCGAAGCTCATAAAAAAGGCTGATTCCGGTTAACTAGTCTTGATAGCAAACATCTTGTTTAGCTTAGGCTTCAGCTTCAACAACTTCAAAGGTTTTGCTTTGTTCCTGCGCCAGAAAGCCACAGGCGCCACTGCGAAAAGAGCTCAGCTCGATATCATGAGCGCCTGGTGTGAATTGCTTTTTAAGGCATTGGATGAGTGAATATTAGCAAGACAAGTTCGTTGCCCAAGTCTTTTGTTTGCCCAGGCCGAGCTGGCAGCTGGCCAAGAACTGGCAAACACTTTCGTTTAAGCTGTGCGTGTATGTCTGCCAGCCGCAGCAGCAGAAGGAGAAGGGGACGCAGACAGTGAAGGAGAAGTCGAGTAAGAAGAAGAAGAAGACAGTGCTCATGCCGGCAAATCTCATGTAGTTGTGGTCGCGTGCTAAGTCTCACTTGAGCACTGAACAAGTTTTCGAATCGAATCGGCCAGCGCAGACGAAGAAAAGCCGACCACTTTCTTTGCGGTTTCATTGGCTTCCAGTGAGCGATGAGACGTGTACTTCCAGTGGCTGACAAAAGTAGCTATCACAGTCGGTTCGAGTGGCGGCGCTCAGCTCAGTTGTTAACGCGACCTGAACAGGTGCAGACTTGCAGACTTTGCAGCTCCGGTTAGCATTTTGTGTGTTGTTTCGTATTATATTTTTCGTCGTGCTAAAGGAAAGCGCCACGGCGCACGTGGACATGAAGTTAATTGATGTTATTATATATTTAATAGCTATTTTAATCTTCATCTATTTGCTGTTGGAGTAAACCACATTCACTCGCCACTCACTTACGCAGCTGCAAGCCAAAGCTTTCCTTACTCTTCATCTTCTTCTTCTTCACGCTCCACAAGCTCTTCATCTGCAAGGCAACTACAATCGCAGCCAATATGAAGGTAAGTAGAATCTCACGCTGATTTTATGAGCTTCAATTATCGATCATCAAATGATGGGAAATGCATTTTATGCAAATACACAATCTCTATGGACGCCCCAGGCTCAGTTGGGTTGCAGTTCGGGTTTCTTTTTGAAAACTTCACCAAAAGCCAAAGACAATGGCGGCATTTAATTTTGTTGTTTTTGTAATATTTTCAATTGGATTGCAATTGATGCGCCGCTGAGGCTCGTGTTTTGAATACTTGTTAAATTGCGATTGGCGGGCACTTTCATTTGCGGTGCAGTAGCTGCAGCTGCAATTACAATTGCAATAGCAATGCCTATGGCAATGGCAATGCCAATGGCAATTGAGAGCACTTGATGCGTCAAGTTTTCGCTGCAGGCAACCAAACAATGGGCCGGGCCGTTCGCTACACTTGCCTGGCTATTGCGATTGCCGTTGACTCTGGCTCTGCCTCTGTCTCTGCCTCTGCCTCTGCATCAATGTGCAACGCAGTGAAGAAGATGAAACAGTTAGCTTAATGCTAAATAAAAGTTGACTTTCAGGTTGGCCAAATGCGTTGCGAATTGGGTTAGCTTGCGGTTGTTTCAATGATGTCGCCTAATTCGCTGTTTCAATTGTGATTGGTGAGCTGTGAGCGTGGTCAGTCCGAGTATAGTACCGTAGATCCTATTTCCATAACGGAAAACAATACAATATTACAATTCGTGCGTACCTTGACTTTCATGCAACGGACCCCAGGTTCATTCACCAGTCAGTGCACCCGCTCCGACCGTCGACCATTATTATTATGCAGATTTTCTTACAGGCGACAAAGCAGTATCAAATTGCTAACCGCTCGATAAACAGGCAGGCAGCAATTTGGTCTCAATTACGTCTGCCACTTTGATTAGGCAAACGCAGCACGTAATCAATAACCATAGTGCAGCGCTGTGGTGTGCACTGCGCGCTGACAGTTTCACCTGTAACGGTAAAACATTGTCATTGCCAGTGTCTCGCGGACAAGTGAAATTTGTTGTTGCTGTAACAATTACACTGGCAAATTGTTGACTTCCACTTCACTCGTGGCCCGGCCATGTTTGTAGCAGAACCAAATCAATTTGGTATTTCACTTTCATTGGCCCATAGTCTTAATTAGCCGCGACCGCTGCACGCCCGCCCGTGCCCACAGTTATGGCTTACATGCTTACACGTACATGTACACATGCATGTGTGTGTGTGTGCGTGTGTATGTAAATGCTTAAAGGTTTATTATGGCCCTATGCCTTAGTGGCCAGCGGCAGGCGACGTGATAAAATTTTAGAAAACCGCCAATTTATACAAATTAAGGCCATTATTTTCGGTTCTCCGTCCATCCGCTGATTACACACATCCCAGACTTGCTTCCCTTTGCCCCTCATTTGCCCATGCAGCTGCAGAGCTGATAGAGCTTAGAAAGTTGTACATATACATGCAAACATAAATATATATCTTTGTTAAGTACTTACCTGCAAAAGAGATAATTAAATTTCGTTTAATGGATTTTCGTGTTAATTTGTTACGTTTTTACTGCTTTAGCATTTCGTACTCTTGACGCTGCTGTGCAGCCTGGTCAGCTGTGATCTGTCTGCCGTCAAGCGTCCGTTGGTCTTCAGCAACGGCAATTGGCCTCCCAAGAGCGCCAACCAGCTGTCTCGCCATCCAGCTGCCTCAGCCAACGGGAAGCAGCGCACCTTGGTCGTTCAGATTCGCAGCGATCAGCCAGTGCCATTGGTATTGAAGGGTCGTCCCGGCGCCCACACGCACGCCCATCAGCACCTCGGTTCACACTCGCACCTGCACTCTCACGGTCACCTGCATGGCCACGCCCACTCTCACGCACACACACACCTGTTGCATGGAGCCGCGCCTCAGCACTTGCGTGGCGTTCGCCCACTGAAGCTCAGCGCTCCAATCTACCTGAAGCCGGCAGGCAGTCTGCGCAAACCGTTGAAGATCAAATTGAGCAACTCGAAGCCGCACTCGAAGCCCACCTTCGGATATGAGAAGCCCTTCAAGTACGAGAAGCCCACTGCCGTTGCCTATAGCGAACTGCAGAACTTGCCGGTAAGTACCATAAAAAGTGGGCAGGGAACTCGGAGCACGCACACACACGCGCACACATAGAGAGATATCCTTATACACATACATACATATACCCGCAGCTGGACACACACAACAACTACAACACCGAGCACTTTGCACCAATTTACACGGTACCCGCACCCAATCTGGCCCAGCACCACGATCACGACAATCAGATTGACGACGGCCTAAACACTGCATACCTGCCCCCACAACAGCAACAACAACCACAGTTGAGCACTCAACGTCCCCAGAGCAGCTATTACAGCGTGCATGAGGACGAGACAAATGATAAAACGATTCGCGATCCCATTTCGGGTTCGCAGAAACTCTTTGCCCCAGATCCAGACCCATCTTTGCCCACCACTAAGGTGAAGATCGCCACGGAGAGCTTCAACACGCCGAGCAACAACCAGCCGCTGCCGTCGGATGTGCAAAGCAACCATCTGCCCGCGCAGCCATTGGTCCAGATTGTGGGAGCCCAGGCAGCAGCACAGACAGTGCCCATCTATCCCATCCAGTTCACGCAGCAGCAGACGACACAGCCCTTCATCGCCGCAGCCCTGCCTGCCGCCCATATACCCATCTACAATCCCACCTATCTGGTCACCCAGTCCAATCAGCTCTACAGCCAGCACAAGCAGCAGCTCTTCAAGCCCAGCGTGGAGCACGTCGTTGAGACGGGCTATGTCAACGCTGACCTGACGCAGGAAGTGGCCAGCAATGGGCAAATTCTGCAGGCCGCCAAGGATCCGCAACACAATATCCATCCAGTGCTGGACTCGGCTCCACAATATGCCGCATTAATCGCTGCTCCTGCACTGAGCGAGCCCGCAGAGCCTGTGTATGATACGGCGCCCTTCCACTTGACCAATGTCGCCACATCAGTGAGCTCCACAGCACCCGAGGGCGGATTTGTGGTATCCAACTACTATGGAAATTCGCACGACTCTTCGCAGCTGCTGCAAGCTTATGCCGAGGAAGAAGCCCGACGACAGCAGCTGGAAACTGAGCAGGCTGCACTGGAACTTCAAAAACAACAGCAGCATCGATTGCAATTGGAAGAGCTGCATGCTCAGGCGCAGGCCCATGCACAGTTGCAGCAGCAATACCAACAAGAACTGCAGCAGCACCAACAACAGCAATACCAACACGAGTTGCAGTTGGAAGAGCTGAAGGCTCAGGCACATGAGCAACACTTGCAGCAGCAGCAACATCAGCAACAACTTCAAATTCACCAACTGCAACAGCAGCATCAGCAGCAACAGTTACAACTGCAACAGCAACAGCAGCAACAACTGCAGCAGCGTCAACCCACAGATCCGGCGGCTGCTGCTTTCGAGGAGCATCAGCGTTTGGTACAGCAGCAACTGGGCAGCACTACACCTTTGCGTATTTTTGTTCCAGATGAAGAAACACCGGAGACTGTAAGCAAGCAAACTCATTTTTAATACGTACACCCTTATGATTATTATTTTCATTCGTCTAAATTACAGCAGCGTCTACAAAAACGCTCGGACAATCTCAAGAAGGGCTCATTTGAAGATGTCTCCACGCTGCAGTCGAATGATGCATCAAAGGATTTGTATTCCGTTTCAACTTCTGTGGAAGTGTCAGGCAGTCAAACAGATGCCGACAACGAATAGGAATATATCATTGTTATGGACATAGTTCTTAGCGGTCTTTAAATATTTATTTTACAACACACATTTGTAAATGTAATCATATAGCAAGAGTCGATAGTGTAATTAATAAATGTATTAATATTTTAAAAAACCGCGAGAATTTTAAAATGAAATACAAATTTAAATATAAATTTTAATACCTAGCATATATGCGTGCTCTATCGATACAACCTCAGTTTGAATTTTACCTTACGCGCGCTTTATTAAATGGGCCACACTGTTAAGTATCGATAAATAACTGATATTCAGACCATGTGCTCAGCTATCGATGTTAAGCAATCATGTGAAGCAAGTTGGCAGCCTTTATGGTAAAATAGAAGCTAAACAGAAAAGTGTGCGCTAAGCACAAATTAAATAAATTGTCATAAAAAGACAAATATAATAAATATGATAATACCAATTCGGTGTTTTACCTGTGGCAAAGTTATTGGTAACAAATGGGAATCTTACCTAGGCTTGCTACAGGCTGAGTATACGGAAGGGTAAGATTCGACGCTCCGCAAGCAAAGCAATTTCATCTGCATTTCATATTATTAGTACTTTAACTGTATATAATTATTCTTTAGTGACGCATTGGATGCTTTAGGATTAAAGCGTTATTGTTGCCGTCGAATGCTGCTTGGCCATGTGGATCTCATTGAGAAGCTTCTCAACTATGCACCTCTCGAAAAGTAACAAATGGACGCTACACTTGGGACAGTTGGGATTATACGGAACTTAAACGACAAACTTTATATTTTATTGTAAAAATAAATTAAAGCTCAATTTAAGAAAAAACAGTCGTTTCAAGAACTACATTTTGTCCATGAACCATGGCTGCCCGTTGTTTTCACGGCGTTTCGTGAGGATCTCACAACCATTGTTAGTGACTAACAGAGTTTGTTCGAATTGTGCCGAGTAGAGACCGTCACCGGTGACGGCAGTCCAGTCATCTGGCCAGGATTCTGCCTTCTGAACACCCTCGGAAATCATTGGCTCAATTGTGAAGCAGTGCCCAGCGGCCATCACGCCAACGGCAGAGTTCTCTGTGGAATGGGCAAGACATTAGCTCGGTATCCAAGGGGAAAAGGAAGACTCACTTACTGGCATAGTGGGGCACATTGGGTGCGGTGTGGAAAACGCGATGAATGCCATGACCGCAATAGCTGCGAACGACGCTGAAGCCATGAGGCGCCACGTACTTCTGGATGACATTACCTATCTCTCGGTACTTAACGCCAGGACGTACCAGTTCAATAGCTTTGCACAACGATTCGTATGTAATGCGCACTAGTTTCTTGTGCTTCTCTGAGACGTCGCCAACGAAAAAAGTTTCGTTGAGATCACCATGAAAGCCGTGATGATAGACAGTCACATCGATGTTGCATATGTCGCCATTCTCCAGGGGACGTAAGTCAGGTATGCCGTGGCAAATGACCTCGTTAACACTCGTGCAGCATGACTTGGGGAAGTTGTAGTAGTTGAGCGGGGATGGATAGCAGTCGCGCTCGATGGCTGCCTCGTGCACCAGGCGATCTAGTTCATCGGTTGTGATGCCTACTTCAATGGCTTTGGCACCCTCATCTAAGCACTCACGGCCCAGTCTTCCTGCCACTCGCATTGCCTCAATTTCGTCATCGTCGAGCACTTTGATTGTTGTTCCACGCAAAGCTTCTTCCGACAAAGATCGTCCAGCAGGATGATCTGCGTAATCTGGACGTTTGATTGCCTCCGGAACGGCACGTTTGGGGGTCTGCGGAAACGGACGCAGTTTGCCGGTGAACCGGAAGTGCGGCCATGGATTGTAAACACCATCATCAACGACAGGCTTCTGACCACCGGCTAATTTGAACCAAAACATATCCGATCAATATACATTTAATATTTAACATATATTTATATTTATTTAAAATTTATGATGAAGTGAACCTACCAGCTAATGCATGGATCACCTTGTGCTCTTTCCAGAAACCTTTAAAGCATGCCTGCGAGCAGAAAAATGAGCCTTTGATTCCCAATTTAATACAAGTGGGGCACTGAAGCGTCGCCTCATTGTTACAGTTCGTTGTTTCGCAACTTTGCGTCATTACAGCGTGTAAAAATGTCCTCTTAAAAACTGTTCCAAAATTAGCACTTCGACGGACACAATAACCACATGCAACGCCGTTATTTTTTTCTGATTTTCATTATCGATATATTTACAATCGATGGTTTAGTATATCACCATGTCGTAGAATAGAAATTATCGACGTTGTTGATTTTTTTCAAATTGTTTAGTATTAAATTTTAATAAAATTATATTTTATTATTAAGGAAATGAAGGCATGTGTGTGTGAAACTAGATATTCTATTATATTTTTATTTACATTTACAAAACCTACATAATATATTTGTCTGGCACAATGAAATCTATGAATTCATTATGTGATATAAACAATTGTTACTTTAAGGAAGTTTCTGCACAAGAAGTTTCTGTCAATTAAAATTTCATTAATCATTTAAAAATTTCGGTTTAAATCAAAGTTATTTCGATGCAATTCTAGTTTCTTGAATATTTTTATGAAATATTAAATAATATTAAATAGTGAATAATAGTTTATAGTTAATTTATAAGAAATAATACTTAGTTTCTAAAGGATATGACAACCTGACAATGATATGAATTTGAATTTTCGTTATACGTTGTACATTTTCAAAAGCAGCTGTTAGCAATTGTCTAGGCACATGCGCTTTATCCCTTTCCTTCTTTCTCCCTCTCTTTCTGGCTCGCTCTCTGCTAGGCACAGCTGTGCAGCAATTGAAACGCTGGCTCTGTTTATGTTTGAATCTCTCCAATCAAACCGCGAGAACCTTTCGTCGTGAACGGACGTGTATTCCATTGTTGCGGCTAAATAACGCGAACGAAAGAATAATAGCAACAAACTTGTTTGATCTGAAGCAGAATTAGTGTTCGCATAAAGTCCAAAAGGATCCGGAGTGTGTGTGGTGCCAAGAGTGAATACAATCTAGTGCACTAATAAGTAATATTAATATTATTAATAATAATACAAACACATATTTATATAAACATCATTTGAATTGCCTGCTACAGGTGGAACCTCTGCTATACTGTTGCTGTGTAGTCGAGGATATTTCAATTCAATTCAAAGTTCGTAATTTCGAGAAGCGAATATGAAATCATAAGTAAAAGTAAATCATGGGTAATTTACCTGCACATGTTGAGTTCATATAATTCCTAGTCGCTAATCTATTATATTAGACAGTCCGTCGGTCGAGCATTGAAATGAATGGATCAGTTTTGTCGCGATCTTTGCACTCGCCGTTCGATCGCGTTCTATGCGTTTTCCTTATCAGCAGCGGCTGCTGTTGTTAGCCCCGCGTTTCGTTTTTGCGTTCACTTTGAGCAGACGACGACAAACACGCCGCAGTTACTGTTGATGCTGCTGTTGCTGCTGTTGCTGTTGCTGTTGCCGTTGCGGCAGAGAAGAGGCAACGGCATCAAATTGCTATAAATAACAAACGGCACGCGGCTGCGCCCGTGTGTGCACTGCACTGTACGTTGCATGCCACACCTCCGCCTCACCACCTCTACACCTTTTTGACCCCCCTCAACTAAAATCAGCCGCAGCCGGCTCTTCGCACGATGGGTGTTTGATTCCACTATCTATCGCTAACTGAGTCGTTGTCAGTTTTCCGCTTTTCATTAAACAAAACGAAAACAGCAACAAAATCAAGCGAAACGCAAATCGTCAATTGTCAATGGTCTTCATTCGGAAGGCCGCCTGCGTAATTAAAATAGAATCTGTTTTCCCTGAATGTGTGTGTGTGTTTATTTGTGTGTGGGAGCTTACGTGTGTGTGTGTCAGTGTGACTATATACTAAAGTAAGACATTACTTTATTGTGTTTTGTTCAGGCTATTGCAATACGGAACAACGTCAAAAGTCAAGGTACCGCTGCCGTTGGCGCTGCTGCCGCTACAAGCAGCGCTGCGACGCTCGCAGCAGCATCGGCCGAGACAGCAATGATCTTGCATTGCTGCTGTTGCTTTGAACTCGATCGCAGACAAAGATTGAGCAAAGCAGGATCGCACATTGTTCTTTTGCTGTTATTCTTGTTATTGTTGAACGACTCTTCATTCTTTATTTTTTTTTTGACAACGATCATCGGCGTTTGCCCAGCGGCTATACGAGCCGATCCTCGCAGAAATTAAAGGTAGAGAGCAGAGAAGGCAAAAAACAGAAAACAACAAAATCTTTAAGGCCGGCAGCGAACACGCATTAGAGTTAATTGGGCTCCGTCTGCGGCAGTGGCTCCAGTCCAGGTGCCTTTGATACGCAATGCTAAGGCATTAGCAGAATGTTGCCACAACATGTGTGTGCGCGTGTGAGTATGTATGCACGGACATACATACAAAGACATATTTGTTTGTATGCACACATGTGTGGTGCGCATTTGTACGCATTTGCCTGATGCTTGTGTCAGTTAGATGAAAATTTATGCGTCAAAGCAAACAAAAAAAAAAAAGCAAAACAGAAAAAATGAAAAAATTGAACGAATATGAAATTCAAAGTGTTGTCCCGCTCAGCAGAGTCTCGTTCAGTTGCCGCGGCATTTTCCAGCGCTTCAGCACTTCCGCTCTGCCAGAAAATCAACTTCCGCTGGCAAACAATTGTCAGCAGGGAGCGGTGGCCCAAGGCGTCAAGAGTGGAGCGCGGAGCGAGGGGCGCATGGGTTTGGGTCTCCGCTGACAATGCCAGCGGCGTTGCTTTACGTAGCAAACGCAGCACAAGAGACGCATATTGATATTGTTGCCAGGATTCTTACGCTTCACTGCACTCACACACTTACCCACCCACCCACACACACATACATACATACATTCAGTCATATAAATTTAAGCTGCTGCAAGCGCATTTCACTTTTGCTTCACTGCTCCTGTTGGCTGTTTTGTCCCTTATCCTTTGGCCCGGCAAACATTTTGTGGCATCTTCGCCTGCTTATTGCCAGCCAACGAACGCCATTAAGCGTTTCATGTTACCTCCCTTCGCATTAAAAAATTGTCCGCGTATGCATTTCCCAACAATTCTTTCCATTTCTGCGACATTTCATTTCATTCCATATTTCTGCCAGCTTTTTCGCTTTTGAATAGAACACAACTTTGCTTCCTCTTGGTAATACCCTTGACGAGAGCATTAGGACTGTGCCATGGCGAGTGTATTCGTGTGTACAGAAGGAGATTTGATCAAAGTTACCTTTCCTTTCCTTCGCTTATTTTACTTTTGATCAAGATATTTAACTACTTTCATTATGCTCTTTGTATTCTGTTCACATCTGATTATGGAGAAAAATATTCTTGCTTTGATTTAAGTGTTGCTTAAAATACTTATTTCTTTATGTATTATTATTGATATTGAAATCATGCTGTATATATTCATTTCTAATTATGAAGTTCTAAAAATAAATTGTGACAAGAATATAATTATTGCTTTACATATATCATTTTTTGCTTAGCTATTATATCTATTGATAATGTTATCACTCTCTTTGTATTCTATTCATTTTGCTTTCTAGAAAGCTCTAAAAATAAAACCTTACTCTAACCTATGTCTTATTTTAAGGACATATTTGTTCAGGTATTATATCATGCCCCTTTTTGTCTTCCATTCATTTTTTATTCTAGACAATTCCATAAATAAATCCTATTGCTTTTGTTTTCCTATACATTTCCTTAAGGGTATTGCGTCTGCAGCGAATTATTATTAAATTTTGGGAGCCTTGCACGCATTTCTACTTCAGTTGCGAAGGGGCGCGTGCTTAAAACGTTTTTATTTTTTCTGGTTTCTGGTTTGGGTTTTTCTTTCCACTCCAGCCGAGCTTTGATATGTTGAAATTTTCATTTTTAGATTTTTTCATTTTGTTGATTTGCCATCGCAGCAAATATACAAAAATTAAAAGCAAATTATGTGCCGCAGGTGCCGGAGGCAGCGGGGAGCAGCGGACTTGTGGCGACTCTAATCCACATCAAATCGGATATCTGCGTGCGCCTGGGCAGTCCGAAACGCACAAAATCTCTTATCTGCCAAGTATTTGGAGCAAGCGATTCAAGTTATTTTATGAATATTTGTATAGGCTCTCAAATTTGCATGGTAAGCCATGTCGGGGCGGCTGAATGCTGGATGCTGGATGCTGAGTGTTGAGTGTTGAGTGTCGCGCGTGGGCGGTCTATCAAGGCACTGCTAACGGTATATATATCTATATATGTATATGTATGTATATATTGCAATGCTCCGCCCACCCCACTCTGGACTTATTTTCCTTCGTATCTCACTTCATCTCGTTTGCCGCACTACACCTCTTCTTGACATAAATATTTTGTTATCAACGTCGTTCTTGTTGCTGCTATGAAGCAAAGTTAATGATATGTCGCAACTGGGTGAGCATAGGTGTCTGGCTGTGTGTGTGTACGTGAGTGTGTGTGCGTGTGTCTCGGTATGTGTGGAGACAAGCGTTCTCAGTAAGGATCTATGTGTGTATCTGAGTCCGTGCTCTGCATCAGCTTTATGCGAAATTAATTGTAATTTAAGTACGTTAAATTTCTGGCTTCTAATTTGCTTCCCTTGTTTAGAAATAATGCAATCTTATTTGCTGTAGCCTCTTCTCAGCGCCAGCAGGAGTAGCCTCACTACTACTTAAGCGTATATTCATTTGCGTATTCAAGCATGTTCGATGCCATTCAAGTATGCACAAAACAAGCCCCAATAAATCTATTGAAGATGAAATGCGTAATGATTATTCATGCGGAACTCAATGCTAAAAGCTTTGTTTAACTTAATGAACTTTGAGTTCTCTGCTCCTTGAGCTTCGGTTATGTCGGATTGACTTAATTCATGCGTTCGTTCACTTGCAGGATACATGAAAAAAGCATTTACATGCCAAAAGTTAAGACTCCAAGCCCTCCACAGCCACAGCTTTTGTGCTGTGCTCTTTCTTTGCTCATCTTTTGGGCTCGTTCAAATTTGTACAGCATTCACGGGGCCGAGGGCCGAGGGCCGAGGGTCGAGGACAGAGAGCCGAGGACCAAGGACAGAGAACCGACGACCGCCTGGCATTCAGTTTTATTTGCCAAATTAAAAGGATTTCATTTGCTTTTCATATTTGCATTGGTTTTTATCGCCGCTGCCAGACAACTGGCTTTGACCCAACGCCGATTTTCCCACACAATCACCATAAAACCGAATCTCGGCGCCATATTTTCTGCCCTCGTACTGGCTGTTGCCTTCCTCTTTACTTTTTTTTATGTTGTGGCAAAGTCGTTGGCAATTGTTATTTATGGCCAAAGGAAGGAAAAAGTAGCCGTAGCAGCTGACAAGGCGAGCAGGCAAGGCTTCAGCCTCAACCTCCACCGCCTCAGCCCGCAGCGGTGTAGTGTGGCGTATGCCCAGGCCGATCATCATTTCTGTTGTTAGTATTAATTATTTGCTAGCCTCAGTGCTGGCCCTCAAATTGCATAATTTAGGTCTTAAACAGCCGTTTGACCATTGCTCATGTTCTATATGCGGCTTTCCCACATCTCTGTACATATTTGCCGTCATGGGCACGGGTTCCGTTACACAGAGTGGAGCACAGGATAGCAGCAGCAGCAGCAGGAGCAGGTGCAGGAGCAGGGGCAGGAGTAGCAGCAGCAGCAGCCTATCTGTCTGCGGTGTATTTCATGGTTGAGCTTTATTTACATTCATATGGCTACAGCCGAAGCGGCCAAGACCAGTCGGCCCGACCAGGACAGAAGCAGCTCGGAGCATTTTGGTTACAGTTGCAACCACCTGGGCATGTTTTTGGCTGAGGCCACAGGTGCTAGCTGGGCAAGCTTAATTATTTGCAGTTGGCTGTGGCCCAGTGTTGGCTCTGGACCTTTGCTCCCTTTCAGTGTGCGTTCGTTTTGTCTGTTGGTTTGTTCACCTCATTGCCTGTTTATTTGGCAACCCGTTTGCATGCTGCGTTTGTACAGCATTTAAGTCGCATAGAAGTCGGTCCGCCAGTTCATCAGTGAATAGGAGAATGCTCCTTCACTCCCTCCTTCACTACATACATATGTGTGCATTCGCCTGTATCTCTGTTAATTTGAATTTACGGCTTTTTATTACGCCAATTTTCAGTGCTGTCCGCCCGCGCTTCCCATTCACTGCGCGCCTGTTGATATGCAATATTTTTAATCAGCCACGCAAGCAAACATTCAGCCCGACGCGACGTGAATTAACACTATATATATATAAAGAACTTTTCATTTTGTGTCTGTGTATATTCAGCCCAAATTGCAAACAAATACTGAATCCGCACTCGTTTTTACTCGCATGCATATTAAATATCTGGGGGAGATTAATTTTTTTCCATGCAATTATATTATTTACGTAAGCCCTTAATTCTCATATTTCAAAGTAAATTTAAGCTACCTCTGTTATTGGTATAGTAACAAATCAACAAGCCTTTCAAAAGTGCCTTAAGTCTTGCTGCGTGTGCTACCTCACCTCACATTTGCCAGGTCAACGCTTAAGCCACAAAGGCTTTGGGATCAAGTTGAAGCAGGGCACACGTATGGCAGCGTCGGTAGAGAACATTGTTTAAGTCTCAGCTTAGTATGCACTTTTAGTAAAGTAGAAAACTAAAGAAAAGTTGACTTCAGAAATGTCAGGTAATCTGGGAAAAATATTTAACTAAAATTATAACTATTTTCAAAATACATAAAAAGAATTAATGATTAGAGGAGGAAATTGTTATTACAGAAAAAGTAGAAGGGAATGTTGGATCGGCTTTAAGCAAAGACATGGCCCGGGTGGTGTAAGAGCATTTTCCTAGTTCTAGGTAGGTGCTGTTAGATCTTTTGGCTGCAGTACCGACACACCACGGTGTTTGGGATAGAATCTAGTCTCTCGAGGTATTTTTGGATACCTCTTTAATTCCCTTGATTCTTTGATTCTTCTTCAATTTTAAGCATCCCTTCGTTAGTTTTGCATATCGCTAGGAGCCTCAGTGGTCTTCCGCTGAGCCGTTTTGGCTTTGAGAATACTCTATTTATGAATATTTTGGTTGTCATTCGGTACACCTGGATACCAAAGCAATATATTTTTGTTGATTCTCACATTATAATATAACTCGGATTTTTAAGTTCTCTCTGCGGAATTTGTTACAAAAATTAGAACTTTTACGTTTGGTTTGAAGATTACTCAATATATTCCGTCCAAACCCATTTAATAATGTTGGTAATTTATGATCAAAATGTCGTTTGTTACAAAAGACTTACTAAATATGAAAGGTCAGCACTGATTACCCAATTCCCAATTCAGCAGACGATGCTAATCGATATTATACCATCTCAATAACTAAAATTCAAATATGATTGTGGAGTGAAAGATTAGAATTTTCAGTGAGCAGCTATGTTAGGTACTTTATTTTTCCCCTTCATCAAAAACGTTCAAAAATTGTAAACAAAAATAATAGCTTTTCAAGTACCAGATCCCTATATACACAGATACATGCATATATAAACATAAACCTCTATATATATATATATGAGGCTGTTTGTTATCCATCTTCGCACAATTTGACACAGGTGCTTAAGTATTTACTTCTCTAGGCATCATATCACAGTAATCAATTATAATAAATCAAGTGTATATATGTATGCATGTATGTGTAATAATGACATCCTTTGGCAGCTATGTACACAGTTAGCTACTTGAAATGTCAACTGTCACGGCGGCAAGACAAATCAAAATAAGGCAAACGGGCAATGAGTGCGCGGCCTCTTGGAGGAACTTTTTAGGAACAGGCTCGTGTCAAGATTTGCGCTTGTAAACACTAAAAATGTCAGAGGCGAGGCGAAGCGGCGGCAATATGCTATTGTGCCGACTACCAGCTTAGCCTGGAACGTTGTCATTGTCAGTTCGTGTAGTTTGAAAGTGGCGCTTGGCACTTGACAAGTCTGATTGATGGCGTGACTGTGAGTGAGCAGCAGGATGTTGGCGGAATCGTGAAATTCCTGAAGCTTCGTTCGTCTTGGACCCTCATCTCATTTAATTAAACTAAATGCGAATGCTACGCTTCATTCAGAATCACCCCACACAATTGCTCAATATCGTTTATGCACGCCAAGCAGAAATGAAGAAATTCTCTTTGGCAGACTCAAGTTTCATAATTCGCTAAAGAAACAAATACAACAAAGGACATTACCACATAATACTTGAGAGAGATATTGAATAAATAAATATGTACATATACATAAATATAGATGATAAGAGTTAGCTACCTCTGAAAATTGCTGAACATAGTTGACCAATTCATATAAGTATTGCTTTGTCATGGAAGCAAAATAGCATATGTGTTTACAGTAGAGTTTCTATATTGGCCTTATTTGGCTTTATGATTTACCAAGAACTTCATTTTCCTAGATAATGTTTTGGAGTAACACAGACTTTAAATTTTTCGATATTAGGGTGCTCAACTTTGCATCTTTGCATAATATTCTTCCTAATGCTCAATTTATGTGATTGTTGATTGTTATTTCAATCCCTATATATAATTATATAAATAAAATTTAGCTTTATAATTAAAATATTGCGTACTTTATAAAGAAAAGACACAATTATAAATTTGATATTTAAGTTTTCTTAACTTCCATCTTACGTACAACTGGAAAACATACAACAAACTGACGAACATTGCAGAAGACCAATATACTGTTTTCATTTCATAAATAAGTATAAAAATAAATAACAAAAACAAATACAAACGAACATCAAAACACATTGCAACCTATGCACTGTTATTTATAAAATTCCAGAGCCACAGCAATGAAATTTTAATTTGTTTACGTTTGTGACATGTTGCTCTTCGCAAGGTTGACCTCTGATAAGCGGGCAGGTCGATGTGGGTGATCTTCTCTTGGGAGATAAACGGACTCAGAGCGCAAAAACACGGAAAAGCTGACGTCTAAGAGCTGGCTATAGGCCCTAGACAAACAACAAATGAAC